TTTTTTAGTCTAATGTATAAGCTACATCAAACAATGTTTTTCTTTCATCGTCTGACCCATCCACATTGTACAAATGGCAGGAACTCCTGTTAAAAGTTCTGGAATATTCCATTGTATACATGTACCATACTTTATTGAAGCATTCATCCATCAATAGACACTTAGGCTGTTTCCTTGCCTTAAGTGTTGTAAATAATACTGCAATGAACATGAAAGTGGGAAGCACCACATCAACTGATTTAAGATCATATCATGAAGCTATGATTGAACAGTACAGTAAGTACTAGCATAAAGCCGGTTAAACACACCAATTTATCTGATCAACTCATTTTGGACAGGCTCACTGAGAGGACACAGCAAGGAAAAGAATAATCTCTCAATCAACAGTGCTTATCAATAGTGAATCACTAAAGAGATCAACAGTTGAACTTTATGAAGTAATTTTTTTTTTTGCAAGGGAATTCGAAACATTCCTAGGAATGGCCATTACTTTTCATGGATAGTCTATGCATCTCGTATCATAATAAGCCTGTTCACGGGTTCTAAATTGTAACAGTACAGAGATCAGCAATCTAACACCCATGGGATAGGTGTGGTCAGTCACCTACTTTTGACCAATCAAAAAATGGATTTTACACTTTCAAATTACTGGAAAAGGTCAAAGGGGTAAGAATGCATGAAAATATATGAAATTCAAATTTCAGTGTCCATAAATTTAGTTGTATTAGATCACATTATATTTATTGATTTATGTTGCCCACATTTCCATTTGTGCTACCGATCACCTAAAGTAGCTTTGAGAGAAACAATAAGCCCTGTGCACCTAAAATGTTTACCAGATAAACTTCTCCATGAAACATATTCAAACTTTTCAGTACAATTTATAAAGAGAATTAAAAACAAAGGCAAGACAGATAGCCTCACAATCCCTACAAACTACCATGATAAAAGCAGCATGGTATTGGGGAAATAAAACCAGATCCATGGATCAACTGAACAGATTAGAAAATGTGAGACAACTCCAGACACATTCAGCCACCTTATTTTTGAGAAAGGAGCCAAGCGTGTTCACTGGAAGAAAGATAGCCTCTTTAATAAATGGTACTGGAAAAAATGGCTTTCCACATGCTGAAAACTAAAACTAGACCCATATCTTTCATTATGCACTAAACTAAACTTGAAATGAATCAAAGATTTAAATACTGAAACAGAAACACTAAATTTGGAAGAGAGAATGGGTAGAACTCTTGAAGTCACTGGTATAGGCAAAGACTTCCTGAGCAAAATCCTGATCTCACAGGAAATATCACAAAGAATAAACAACTGGGATCTGAGTTTATTAAAAAGCTTTTGCACAGAAAAAAAAAAACACCAACAGAGTGAAAAGATAATCCACAGAGTCAGAAAAATTTTTGCCAGCTATTCCTCTAAGAGCTAATCTCTACAATATATAAAGAGCTGGAAAAAAATCTCAGACCCCACCCCCCCAAAAAAAATTAAAGAACTAATCCAAAAATGGGCATCTGAAATGAATAGATCCATCTCAGACGAAGGAAGAAAATGCCACATAGATAGATGAAAAGGGTTCAACATCACTTGTCATTCAAGAGATGCAAATTAAAACAATGCTGAAATTCCATCTCACTCCAGAAAGCATGGCATTTATCAGGAAATCAACTTGCTTCCAGGGCTGTGAGGATAAAGGAACCCTTCTCCGCTGCTGTTGGATATAGACAGGTGCAACACTGTGGAAATCAGTGTGGAAATTCCTGAAAAAGTAACACTAGAAGTTCTTTTGTCACAGCTATTCCCTTCTTGGTAGCTTCCAGGAAGAATTAAAAACGTCACCCTACAGCAATATACACACACTCAAGTTTATACCAGTGCAGTTTGTCATAGCTAAATCTTGGAAACAACCCAAATGCCCACTGATTTCCTAAGATAAAGAAGATGGAAGGGGCTGGGGGTTTAGCTCAGCGGAATAGCACCTGCCTGGAAAGCTTGAGTTCCTGAGTTTGATCCCTTATAACGCCACCTCCCAAAAAAGAAAAAGAAGATGTATAAAGATTATTTTTATACAGTGGTGTACTATATGCCATAAAGAAGTTTTAGCTTGAGACATTTGTAGCTAAAGCTTAACTGAAATAAATTCAGTACACATTTGAATGTTGCATGGTTTCTCTGGTGTGAGAAACTGAAAGTGTAAATAAGAACCAGAATATATAATAAGTATTGGGTAGTGGGAAGGAATTCTGCAAAAGGAAAGAGGAACTAGGGAGAGGGTAGGGGGAAAGGAAGGAAAGAATAAGAAAAACAGAAGAAATGAATGGAAACAAAGTTTGTAAATAAATAGAGGAAGAACAGTTGTAGGGAGCAGAGGGAAATGGGAAAAACATGGCATACCATATGCAGGTACAAATTCCCCGTGATGAATGTGATCATTATGTATATCTAAAATGTACCAATAAAATCTAAAAATAAAGTGAATCAACAACCTCTGAAATCACGTCAATGGTGTGTCAATTTAAATCTTATTCCTCTGAATCAAAGCTAGAATTTTAGTCTTCTGGAAATTTCAACTATGACTTATTTTATCCAATATTTTACCTTTTTTCAATGTAATCTTTAATATTTTTTAACTTTTCCCATAGCTAATTTAATGGAAAAAGAGGTCAGGGTTTCATCTCCAATTCCACCCAACACAAAAGTATTTTGGGTTAAAGGAATATTTCTGGATTGAATTGGCCATATTATTTATTGCTTCACAAAAGCTTGACAGCTTCATGGACTAATTCTGAATGTAATTCTTGTTCTACTTGAGTTGGAAAAAACTTCTAATCTCTTCCACCCCTGAAAACCCTCTTACATCAGAGTATATTACTTTTATATATTAAATATTTCAAAGCAGAAATATGTGAACCATAGTGCTTTAAATTTTTATAGTGAAATCTTCCATTATGTAGAAAGACAGCTTTTATGAGCACCTGAAACCTGTCTGGGAAACATTAATGATTTGGATGACAGATGTAAGGACATTTTCCATAACACTGTCAACTACTGCACACTGCTATAGTTAGGTCTCCTAAAAAATAGTTCTGAAATGGATTTCCAGCTGTATCTTGTCAATGACCATTATTGAAAAGGTCTGTATTTGTAGGTTATATAATGTTGTATGATATTTTTGATCAACTTTTAAGATATTCTTATGTTATTAAGTAAGTTACCAATTGAATAACTTACGTGTATAATTTTGATTGTAAGATCTGTTATGTTTTTCTTGACCTTAATGTCATAATTGCATTCAAAACTCTTTAAAGGGGATCTCATTTAATAAAACAAACTTTCTCATTTATGACTTATCCATTGAAATTATCAAGAAAATTTTAGATAAAACAGAATCCATCACATATTCTAAAAAATGATGAGTAACACTTTAGGTAGATGATGGTGATGTCAAATTGTCGTTTTCCGCTCTTCACTATATCATTTCGATCTTTATAATAGTACCATTAGATTTCAGAGATGAACATGTTGAAGTTGGAGCCATTTGACAAAGCCGCAGCCATTTGTAATGACTGATACATTGTGTCAACTTGAGAAGTTTAGAAGTTTCATTACGCACTCGGGGGGGACCAGGGTCCTTACTTTGTAAACATCCGCATCCTGTACAAGCGGAGGGCACAGAGATGGTGTGAGTGCTACATCCGCCCTGGGGGAGGGGGTGGTAGCCTGCTTACAACATAAGAGCAGAAAAGAGGCTTGTTTTCCCCCCTCGTGCTCTTGCCGTTTGTGGTGTCTTCTGCCGCCTAGAAGTGCTGCCGCTGTGCCATGCGACCCTACTTGGAGCCAGCTGATTACGGACTGAAACCTCCACAAACTGTGAGCTAAATAAACTTTTCCTTCCTTAATTTTGGGTGTTGGGTATTTTGTCTCAGCAACAAGAGAAAAGTAACCAAGACACCATATTACAAATACTGCTCTTTATATACCTATGAAGCAGGGTTGGTACCTATATTATGCAAAGTATGTTGCATAAAGGATATGATTATTTTATTGACAGATTTTTATTGACATTTTATTTATGAAACAACATATATGAAAAGGGAATTATTTTAGTCACAGCAGCCATTCTATGGATGCATGATTTTTATCCACGGTTATTATTTACCTTAGGATGAAACTTTATCTACATATACTTGGATCTTTTGATCTTGGAGGTATTTTAGAAACTAATGAAACTGTACTGACAGTTGAGAAAAACTGATTTCCTTTCACCAGTGTGAATACTTTGATTTTCACATTTGATATGACTTTAGCAGTGAGGTAGTCTGTTTCATAACTCTGCCATAGAATTTATCTTGATTTTACTCTCAATTTTCTAACCATTTTAGTGGTTACAATCTCTAAGAATTTAACAGGAGAAACTCATATTGGCTTTCTGGTGGATACTGTGGAGTGCCTAGTTTATTAATTATAATTGCAGTCATCTACTTTCATGGAACATGCAATCCTAGTGCTTAGTATTCTATATCAAAATGTTTATCCAAAGCACTATATGAATCATAGGGCAGTGTACAGAGGGATATATATATGTATATATATATATATATATGTATATATATATATATAGACACACATATATATGCACTGTATATGTCAAAACATTTTGAAAATTAATCATAAAATGATCATTTTTAAGGAAATATGTTTAACCTGGCTTACACACCATACAATGTATACATGTACTGAAACTTAGGTTATTCCATCAAAGTTTACAATTGTAATGTTTTTATGTGTGCTAAAATAAATTTAACTTAAAAATAAGCATTTATGAAACCTTTCTTTCACCCAGGTCTCTCATATTTTCTTTGGCTCTTATGCTCACTAGCTTAAAAATGATCAGGGACTGGGGATTTAGCTCAGTGGCACAGCGCTTGCCTGGCAAGTGTGAGGTCATGAGTTCGATTCCCTGTACCGAAAGAAACAAACAAACAAAATGATCAGATACATGGTTATGCTTCAAAAATTATTTTATTTTTCTAGGGTAAGGAAGCATATTTATATGTCAGGTAGAGGATCATCAGTGTTCATTCTGGTGAGGTGGTGAGGAAGATTTGGGAACATTGGTGTGAGATCGGGAAAACACCTTTGATAGAGTCGAAGATACTCTTGCCAGCATTTTAGATCCTTGTTTGGAAATGCTCGGTTTGGGAGCCTCTGTGGATAAAAAAATAATACAGATGTTTATTAGACATTTTAAATGATGGTGGTTATAATAGGGTATTAAAAATTTATAATTTCACATTTAGAAAATATTGTGTAATATTCAAAGAATATGCACAAAGATTACTTTTCCTTGATGTTTGTGACTCTCTTATGAAGGAAACAGTAAACATGCCATCTTCGGCTTTGGCACTGAATCTTGGCAAGATCCGATATGTAGCCCAGGTCACAGGCATGAAAACTGGCCATGCAGGGAACACGGTGTATACTTTCTGGCCCTTGTGGCACAGTTATGGCTACTTTACCTTGACATTTCCTTAGTCAGGCTTGCAAAGTCTGTATCTTTTGCTAGCAAAGAACTCTCTGAAAATGCCTGATAAGCTAAGTGGGAAAGCAGATTTCAACTCTGTATCTGAGGGTGTCTATTTCAGAATGTTCAAGTGAAAGCAAAAGTACATTCAAAATGTTGGAATTTTTCTGACTGAGGAAATTTTCTGTTGATTGGACTCAAGTGATTTTTTTATCACATAAAATAGGATTGTATAGATAATAAAAGTGACTCTGTATGGGTTTCCTTTTTTGCATTGTTTATTTAGTATATACCAGCTATTATCATATATCAGCTTAACAAAATGATAACTTTCTATCTAATGATATCCATGAACATTTATGATAGTTTGTGATACAACAGAAGACACGCATCACACCATATCCCATATTTTCTTTATAGTCAGGAATGGTCATACAAATCTTACATATTCAGGTTCTCTAGAAGAGTGGAAAGATCTAAATAGAAGAACTGGCAAGGATCTAGCTTGCCAGACAGGCACTCCCTCCTTCGCATGGAGAATGGTATCTCCAGAGCGTCACAGGCCCCTGCTCACCCTGCTACTCTTGCTACCACTACTGACTTTATTTAAGTAGCTGCTTGTATGTGTAAGCTGTGATGCCAGCAAAGGGGTTGGGCTTTGATCTCATGCAGATCTCTGTGTGAATCATAGCTCTTTGGTTTGCTAGTCATGTGGTGATGGTGAATGACCTACTGTCCATTTCTTCAATGTTTTTTGTCTGTTTAATAAAAGGTGGGTAGCTCGGGGCTTATAAATGTTAGCTCCACTATCTGTTGCTCCTTTGGTGTAGGTTAAAGACACACACTATGTAGTAAACTGTGAATTTGTCTTTATAAGAATATTACTTCTTTCAGACAAAGTGATAGGAAATTAACAATGGTTGTTGTATTACACATTGATATCCTCAGACTGGTTACTAAGATAAACATATATAGGCATGCAAGATTAAATGAACAACCAAACATTAACCGTTCCTTTCAATAAAGCAACAGAAACCAGTGTACAATCATGCTAGCTATCCTGTCTTTTTTTTTTTAAATAAAAGAAGGAAAACATATCAATAAGCAGACATCCACTTACAAAATAGCATAAGAAAAATACAAACAATACAGAGTTACAAAGTGGTAGGAAATTAACAATGGTTGTTGTGTTACGTATTGATATCTTCAAAGTGGTTTCTCAGGAAAGCAAATAGAGATGTGCAGGATTGATCAAACAAGTAATCATTGACTGTTCCTTTCAACAAAACAATAAAGACAGTAGCATAACTCCGTTCTCTATCCTGTATATACACACATATAATTTCTCTTTCTTTCCCTTCTCTTTTCTCACACCCCAGTTGCCCTTTACTTTTGAGCATTTTCCTTTCATTTCACAATGTCTATTATACCTGCTAGTTTTTATTCACTCTTTCAGGTTCTTACACTAGTGAGACAATACATTGCTTACACATGCAGGTCTGATATATTTCACTTATGTGAAATATTTATTTCACTTTGGTGTTATTTTGTAAATGTATGCGTGTTTGTTAATATGTTTTCATTCTTTTATCTTTAAAATTAAAAAAATAAGAATATTACTTCTGTTCCATACGGATAATACACAAGGGAGGGGGTTCTTGTTCTGAGATTATACGATAAAATCTTCTCAATTCAAAATGGTGTAATTAAGATCTTTATTACACTAGTTGTTAAAAGGATAATGTATTTTATACCTGCAATGGTTTCCTTTGAAGGAAGTGCCTTGTCATTAGTATTTCTGGATTCTTCAAAGATGGAGATGAACTGCCAAGACAAAATGACACATTAAGGTAGGCTTTCTTTATACCAGATATACCTAGAAATACTCAAAGGATACAGTAGAACCATGGCATCATCTCACGTAAATGAAATCTGTACCCTGTGGTCACAAATAAGTTTTCTCTGAGACATAAGCTAATATTTTGCCAAGTATGATTCCCAGAGCTGGCCCTTTTTAGGAATGGAATGTGGACCCTGGTTACCACTGTATGACAGACAGGCTGTCTGCCACACTAACTCATGGAAAATGCCAGTGCTGTCTTCCCACCACTTCCTCTGGATTTACTGAAGTGAGTTACAAACCCTTTTCTGAGAATAGATAACATGACAAGGGGAAAGGAAAAAGAATCTTTATAACTGTGAATTTCTTTTTATGAAAATCTTAGCCAGCAGGGGGTCCAGAGCAATAAAGTGGTTGTGTGTGCCTGGGAATGCCGGGAGCAGGGCTCAGATATTGGTTTTATTCCATAGACCTGTGGCGTTTCTTTGAATACAGGAGCAACAATTACCCCATAAAGGCAGAGTGGGAACTCCTGCTAAGATTATGGTTCAAATTCTCAGCGCTTTTTGTCTATGTAACTTCAAGTGAATGCCAGGCATGCGTGGCTCAGGGGAGACTTTGCACACATATCTTGAGCTCCCTTTTCTGAGGCCTCACCTGCCTACACCTGAGAGTCTCTGACTCTGAGCAGCCTCTTCTCTAGTGTCATGGTTAGAATGCTACAGCTGTCTCCTCCTCGTGTGTGCTGTTCCCCGCCTCCCATGACCGCATCCACTGTGATGGCAACGTAAGTGATGAGAAAGCGGACAAGATAGGTTCATTCCATATACTTAGGAGCCCTTTTCCTAATTCAGAGAGAAGATTTTCTTTCAGAATTTTAGTTTGAGTCTTCTCAAAAGTTCTTTCTCCCACTTCCACGCAGCTCCATGACTGAAATTTGCCTACAACTGGGGCCAACATGGAGCAAATAAAGCAGAGATTACTCCACCCCAAAGAAGCCTCTTTCTCACTCCGATCAGATAGCAAAGTCTTCCCTTAGAACGTTATTCTACCCATCCTTTCTGTGAGATCCAAGATGGGAGTTGATCCAAGGCTAACCAAGGAAATGTGGGAAGAAAAAAAAAAAAAAACTAAGAAATTTCTCATGGTGTTGGCCATTGTTTGGGTTTGGATTTCCCACCCCAAACTCCTGCTACCCTTTACACTGAGGTCATTACGGTGCTTTAGTTACAGTCAGTGAGAGAGAAAAATGTGTTTACCACACCTTCCTTGGAACTGCTGTAGACAGCCATAACTTTACCATGGAAAAGGTAGCAAATATGAGAAAGAACAAAGGAGTTTCAAGGGTGCGGTTTTGCTAGGAATTCCACTTGGCACCCGGAATGTCAATGGGTTCCTAGACTGTAGCCTGCGGACCTATGCTTTGTTGCCATATGATGCTGCCTTTTGGAGTGCGGCCCACATGAAGCTGGAGGTGGTTGAGCAGATGTTTATATTCATAAGTAAGAATTAGGTCGGGTACAGAGCTGACATAGTACTTTGCAAATTTGGCAAAAGTAGTGTGAGTTACAGGATTTTAGGTACTATATGAAAATCCTGCTATATTATGATCTTGAGAAGTGACGGAGTAAGTGCTGAATTGTGTGTACACGGAGTAGGAGAACACAGAAAGGTACTTGAATGGGAGCAAAATGAAGATAATATGATTTAAAAAAAAAAAACAGAAGAGAATCTGTAACTGATTCCTCATTGGAAACTTTACAAGGAGGGTTAAAGATGAAGAAATTTTGTGCACTCACACTAGGGGGTAAGTGGGCGTTTTGCAAAGCTACCAGTAAAGAGCTAGTCTTCAGGAATACAGCGAGGTGGGGCAAAATGCAGCCTCATTTCCTTCAAGCCACTCTCACCCCTGCGCTGCCCTGTGCGCAGTTACAGTTCACTTCTTATAGCCCTCCAGTCCTCCCTGTGGTCCACCTGCTCTCGGCAACCAGTGGTGCGCTCTCTACAAGCTCCTCTCCTGAGACTGCATTAACAGACTTAGTTAGTACAACTGTACTTGTGTTTCAGGAGAATTGGTGGCTTCCTCCGTGTACCTACAGAAAGAATGCTAAATAACTTCAAGGGTGAAAATTTTCATCAAGGGATCTTCAGAAATCAAGGATAGGCCTCAGATGGAGATGTGATGGGAATACTGCCTGGTGTTCCTCAAATCAAATCACAGAGACTCCGATCAGACTGTGAAAACTAGGCTGTTCTCAGTCGGCCCTGAAAGTGCAACAGTTGGAAACTATTACAAATATTTACCTGGATTCCTGTTGAATTATCTGGTTTTTGCTCCAAGGAACATGCTATGGGAGAAAAAGAAAAAGTAAAATAGAGTTTTTCTGAGGTATAAGTACTTGCTGACATGAATCTGATTTTATTTCTCATTTCCACCAAAGAACCATATAATTTAGTATATAGAACAAGTATTATTTAGTATATAGAACAAGTATTATTGTTAATACGTAGACAACAGAAGCAATGCCAAAACCAGGAGGGCCCTAGAATGCAGGGGGATATCCGAGATCTTGTCTAAGATCTCTGCCTTTATGTAAGTAAGAAAAAGGAAGTGATGTGTAGGAAAAAGCCTTTTCTTTAACTTGGCAGCTACATATTTATGCAAAACCATTCATTCAATCTGTTTGAACCTGTGTTCCTGTAAAGCAGAATCACACTGAACATGATTCCCGAGGCCCTTCCAACTCTAACAACCTTTGTACATACCTAACTAAAGAGCTAGTTGGAATAAAGAGGAAAGTTTGGGTATAATGAAATAATTAACTTCCAGTGAGAATCAGGCAACTAAAAGCCACACTTAGAGGAAATCTGGTGAAACTGCTATAGAACTAAATTTGTCTAAGGTTCCAGGGGAAGCAGTCAATTTACCGGTGAAAGAAATGAGGCAAAGGAATAAGAAAGAATGGTGACAGGGTGGGTCTCACAGAGAGCCCGTTCTGAAGAGGCAGATAACGTGCTAGGCAATTACAAAGGCAACGTTTGAGTCTTAGTTTTGCTGCTTAGATCTGGGTGAACATTGGCCAATTAAATCTAACTTCTTTTACTCTCGATTCCCTCATCTCTGGAATGGAAATGAAATTACTTTTCCATGGCTATTTCACAAGGGTATGCAGTGAAATATATGCACAAAATCTACAGGTTTTACACACATGTATTTATTGAAAGTTTACACAAGCAATCACTCTGAATTACTCTTTCAGGTAATTCAGATTCAAGGGGAAAGATAAAGTAAAACCTGAATTTCACTGAAATATGAGGGAGGTTAAATTACCTGACAAAATTAGTAAAATTTTACATCTGATTAATTATATTCTTCGTGTCTGAACTTTACATTGCATGTAATTGCACTGACTTTTGCATTTAAATGACTGACCAATACTAGTTTTTAAGTTTCTGGCCTATCCAGGCATCAGACCTCCAGGACAAGCTAGAAAATGGTTTTGATCAAGAGACACAGAAACATTACTGATAAAATGTAAGAGGCCCAAAATATTTGGTTTTACCTTGAGATTTTATTGTGTATCTTACAGAAGTAGGAATATGTGTGTCCAGCCTGACCTCTCTTTTCAAACCTACACTTAAACATCCAATTGTTTATGTGAAGCTCAGCTTGAGCGTCTAACGGCACCTCAATATCAGCAACCCAAGTGGTGTCCCCGTGTGGCGTTCTGCCTCCTTAGTCCCAGTTGTGGTTTCTCCTACCTCCTCACATGCCTTCGTGTGTTATATGCAGTGGGCTGTTTTGGGCTGTGGGAAATACAGCTGTGAAAGACATAAATCCCCACTTCATGACGCTTACGTTCTAGAGACAGCCAGTTAATGTCAAATAGCTAAAAAGTGAGAGGGAGAAAAAGAGAGCAAAGAAGTGGGATAGGTAGAGTCATGATGGGAAATAACTACAGTTTCAGAAAGTGTGGTCAGAGGAGGCCTCTGTGAAAGAGTTCCGTCTGCATGAAGATCTTCAAGTGAGGGATGAGCAATGAAGTCAGAGGGGGGAAAGCTACAGGTGCAGAAGCAAGTGTAAAAGCCCCCGATGCCCAGCAGGTGTGAGGAACTGCGGGGAAGTCAGTGAGGAGTCTAGCACTGTATGCGGCTCCTGCCTGGGTCTAACAGCTTATTATTTCATAGTTCTGAAATCAGGATAGTGTCTGTTGTGATCCCCACAGTTCTGGTACATTCCTGGAATTCGTGCATACTTACTGCTATTCTCTGAATTATTTGTATTATCCTATGTATTATCAAATGCAAATGATTTTTATTGTCAAGTCAGGAGAATGTTTCTTTTGAAAAAGTCATAATGAAATGTAGTTTGAGTTTCAAGAACATGTGACACTCCACATTTTGTGTATAACGTCATTGTTAGAATTACATTTATCCTCTCAGTTTCAAGCAAATAGAACACTAAATTTCCTAACAGATGTTCTAAGAAGTCCATAAAAATAAGTACTTAAAGAAAAAGAAAAGAAGGTCCATCCTAGCTCAGTTTAGTTTTAAAATGCCTTTTCTACACTTTATTTTTTATTTATTTTTTTAAAGATAAAAGAACGAAAACATATTAACAAACACATAGACATTTACAAAATAACACAAAAACAATACAAGCAATACAGAATTTCAGACAAGGAGATAGGAAATTAACAGTGGTTGCTGTATTACATATTGATATCTTCAAATTGGTTACTCAGATAAACAAATGTAGGCATGTAAGATTGATCAAATAAACATTAACTGTTCCTTTCAATAAAGCAGTAGAAATCAGTAGTACAACTATCTTAGCTATCCTGTGTTTACATATATACATATTTTTTCCCTTCTTTCTTTCTAGTGAAGCCAAGATAGGGTACACAGAAGAATAGCTTTTGGAAGAAATAATTAAAATTCAAGATAATTAAATTCTGCCTCAGATACAAGCTAGCATGAGAATATACCTAATTTTTTCCTCAGAGAAGTGTGATAATGTCTACAACACAAAATATTCGATACCAAATTCATTAATGAAGTATTAATAGCAACTCAGACAAGGCAAAGTAGTTTGCCCATTTTCACACCTGAGAGACATAATATTGATTACTTTCCAACAGCACACATACCAAAAGAAAAAAGAATTAATTTCAAATTTGATAACTAAAAATTTATCAAAGGATAAAACTAAGTTACCAAAATAGCAGGTACAGTTTCATTTTGAATACTTTCTAAAATTGAGAAGAATATCCCACCTTTCAATAGCTTAGTGTCTGCAATAGTGTCAGAATCTTCTTCACTGAAATAAAGGACAAAAGACATAATATTTTATTTCCACATTTCACAGATGAAGAAATTACTAGCGAAGCAAAGGAGCAATCAGTCATTATTCATATGGAAGCAAATCCATGATGGCGTATTGCTGAAATTTCAAACTGTCTGAAAATGATTTCCACATTGCCTTTTCCAACTTTATATTTGTGATTTAATACATCAAATTCACCAGCTTAACCATTTTAACTGTATAGTTTCGAAGGATGACGTATATTTACACAGTTGTGCAACAATCTATATGTACGTGCATCTCAGGAACATTCACATCTCCCCCTCTGGACACTGTAATTTCCAACATTATTAACCATTTTCTTCTCTCACCCACTGGAAACCACTCTTGTATTTTCTGTCTCTATGAATTTCACTACTAGGAACATCAGAAAAATAGGATCATACAGTTTCTCACCTTTTATGACTGACATTGCAATATGCATGATGTTATCAAGGTTTTGTATGTGTTGTAGCATGTATTAGGCTTTTCTTTCCATTAAGACTGGTTTATAATGTCTTGAACACTTATGACATATTTTGCTTATCTGTTCTTCCTTTGACATACACTTGGGGTGCTTCCACTGTTTATTGTGAATGAAGCTACCATGAGTATAGGTAGGTGGGTAAATACCCATTCCAGTCTCTAATTTCAGTTCTTTTGGATATACACTCAGAAGTGAAATTATGGTACTGCACCACATGCTGATTCACTGTTTAATTTTTTGAGACAATGATGGTGTAGTTGTTGTACCATTTTATATTCATATCTTCAGTCCCTGAAGGTTCCAGTTTCTCTACATCCCTAACTAGCGCTTATTATTTTCTTTCTTCTTCTTTCTTTCCTTAGTCCTCTTCCTCCTTCCATGCCTTCTTTCCCAAACAGCTATTGCAGTGAGTTTAGAACAGTATCTCCTTGTGGCTTTGATATACATTTTCCTGATGCTGAGTGTGGTTTAGCCATCTTTCCCTGTAAAGCTTCTTTGAAGAATTTCCTATTAAAGTTGATTGTACATTTTTTTAACTCAGGTTGTTCTTGCCACTATTTTTGGGTTATAGGAGTTCTTTATATTTCAATATGAATCCCTTACCAGATATAATTTGCACATATTTTCTCTCATTCCATGTGTTGACTTTTCACTCTGTTGATAGTTGTCCTTTACAGCACAGAAAGTTTTAATTTTGATGAAAACAACTGTCTGTTTTTCTTTGCTTGGATGTACTGTTGGTGTCATATATGAAAAAAACTACTGCCAAAGCCAATGACATCAAGCTTTTCTTCCACATCTTTTGTAGAAGCTGTTAGCCCTGTTTCTTAAATATTTGATTCATTTAGGGATAATTTTATGTGATATAAAGTAATAGTACAATTTCATCTTTGTGTTTGTTTTCTTTTTTGCGTTTGGATATCTATTGTTTCCCAGCGCCACTTGCTGAAAAGTCCATCTCTTTCCCATGAAATAGTGCTGCTACTCAGGAAGTGATTGACCTCCAATGTGACTTTTTAAGGTTGTTTTGGCTTTTCAGGGTCTCTTGAGCTACCAATAAACTTTAGGATGAATTTTTCTATTTCTGAAAAGAGTTGGTGTTTTGGAGTAAAAGAATTTCTTTGACTCTGTAGACCACTCAGAATAGTATTGGCACTGTAACAATATTAAGTTCTCCAACCCACTAATTTGTGGCCTGTTAATTTCTTACAAGAATGTTGAGTAATTTCTGGTGCATAAGTCTTTTGCTTTTTCCATAAAATGTATTCCTAATTATTTTATTCTGTTAGAAGTTAGTGTAAATGGATTTTTTCTTAAATTATAGATAGTTCATTGTACATATATAGAATTTATGTGCATTAAATTGTGTATCCTGCTGGTTTATTAGTCTCATAAGATTTAAGAGGATACTAAGATTTTTCATAAAAATCACATAATCTGCAGATCATATCATTTGCATATATTTTATTTCTCCATATTTGAATGCTTTTCATTTCTTTTTCTGTCTTCTAATTAAAAGCAATAAGACTGACATAAAATAGAATCCTGGTGTGTATTTTATATTTCTCTTATGGCCAAAGATGCTGAATTTTTTTCACATACTTATGGGCCATTTGTGCTTCTTTGTTTGAAAAGTGTCTATTTATCTCATTTTTCCATTGGGCATTTTGTTATTTTGGGGTCTATTTTTTTTGAGTTCTTTATATATTTATATATTAATCCTCTGTCAGAGAATTACCTGGCAAAAATCGTATAGTCTGTAGGTTGGCTCGTTATTGATTACTTTCTTTGCTTTGCAGAAGCTCTTAAATATAATACAATACTATTTGCTAATTATTGATATTATTTCTTGTGCAATTAGGGTTCTGTTCAGTAAACACTTGCCTACGCTTATGTCTTTAATTGTTTCCCCCATCTTATCTCCCAGGAGAGCCAACGTTTCTATTTTTACCTCTGGGTCTGTTATGGTTTACATCTTAATGTCCTGCGGAAGCCTCACGAGCTCGTAGGTGGGGCTTTTGGGAGATGATTTGGTCATGGAGGCGTGATTATCACTAATGCACTGATGAGTTTATACCCAAATGTGTTATTGGGAAGTGGAGCCTGGTCAGAAGAGGTGAGTCCCTAGGACCGTGGCCAGGAAGGATCAATTTTCACTCCTTGCTTAGACTTTCTCCTCTCCTACCCCACACCTCTCTCTCTCTCTCTGCTTCCTGCCTCCAGGCTATAAGCAGCCCTCCTCTGCCATGTCTGTCTCCAATGTCATTCTTCCGTGGAGCCAGACAGCTATGGATTGAAACCTCTACAATGTGTGAACCAAAATAAACCTCTCCTCATTTAAACTTTGGGTGTTAGGCACCAATTTTGATTTGATTTTAGTACAGGAGAATATGTAGGGGTCCAGACTCATTCTTCTGCAAGTGAGACACCAGTTTTGCCAGCACCATTGATTAAAGAGGCTATCTTTACTCCTGCATTGTTTTTTAGCCCCTTTGTCACAGATCAGATGGCTGGCAGTGCCTAGGGCTGCTAATGGTGTCTTCTAGTCTGTTCCATAGGTCTAAGTGTCTATTTTTTGTGACAGTGCTATGTTTTTTTTGTTAGTGCATCTTTGTAGTCTAACTTGAAGTCATGCCCTCTGCATCGCTTATGGTCGATTGAGCTTAGAATAGGTTTGTTCTTGCTCCATATAAATTTGAGAATTTTGTCTACTTCCATAAAACATAATGTTGGCATTTAGATGGGAATCGCATTACAGCAGTATATAATTTTTGGTAAATGGCCATTTGATAATATTGATTCTACATATCTAGGAAGATGGGATGTCTTTCCATTTTATAATGTCTTTTTCAATCTCTGTAGAGTGCTACAGTTTGTATTACAAAGGTCTTTCACTTTGTTAGGTTGATTCTCAGGTATTTAATTTTTTTGAAGCTACTGTGAGTGGGATTGGGTAGACGATTTATTTTTTGGTGGGTTCTTAATTGGTTTATATGAATGCTACTTTTTTATACATGTTGATTTTATATCCTGCTACTTTGCTGAATTGGTTTATTAGCTCTTGATAGTCTTTTTCTGAAGTTTTTTTGAATTTCCCATGTAAAAGATCTTATTGTCTGCAGTTAAATACAGTTTGATGTCTTTCTTTCTTATTCATATCACTTTTATTCCTTTCTCTCCCCCAAGACAGCTCTGACAAAAATTTTGAGTACTCTATTGAACAAGTGGAATGAAAATAAAGACCCTTGGTTTGTTCTTGCTTTTAGAAGACATGGTTTCAGCTTATCCCCAAATAGCATGATGTTGGCTATGGGTTTGTCATAAATTCCTTTTATTAATTTGATGTAAGGTTTTTCAATACCTGTTTTTGTCAGGGATTACTTTACCATGAATGTATGTAGTATTTCCTCAGAAAATTTTTTCTACAGCTATTCAGATGATCATGTAATTATTACCCTTAATTCTACTTAATGGTGTACTACAATTATTGATTAATGTATGTTGTACCATGCTTGCATCCTTAGGATGAAAATGAATTGGTCATTATGTATGATTTTTTTAATGATTTATTCAACTTTGTTCAAATTAAGGGCTGATACTGAGAGGTATTTACCACTTCCTGTCCTTGTATTATTTTTTCAGTTCTCATTCCTTTATATTTCCTTTTTGTTTAACTTCCCAGGTAGATGTACTCCTCTCTCTTTTGGGCACTTTGTTGATAATAGTTTTACCGTCTGTCTTTAGAATTCTCTTTAGTATTTAGAATTCTCTTGAATCAGTGGTCATGAATTTCAATAGATTCTCTTTGTCATGAGAGAATTTTATTTTTCTATCCACTGTGAAGGATAATTGTATAAGATATAGTAAACTGGATTAGCAATTGTTCCCTTTCAGGACTTGAAAATCTTCACTCCATGACCTGGCCTTTAAGCATGGTGTGTCATGGAAAGGATTTTTTTTCTGAACATGTCTGTTTGGAGTTATAGATGCTTCAGTTACCTTGATGAGCAACATTTGCTGAAGATAACAATATGTAAGTTAACAGCCACTGTTAATTCCTATCATTCTGTTTTGAAACCCTGTATCATTTTTACTGTTTTTGCTTTGTTTTGGTCTATGTCATTCTTATTTTGTTATTGTTTTGTATTCCCTTTAAAATAAAAAGAATATTTGAAAGTATGTTTTTATTTGCTCATATCTCTCGAGTTTTTTTATTGAGAGTTGGAGATTACTTGTGCAGAAAGCTCTGTCAATGCTGTGGAATCTCCTTAGTCAGTGGATATCTGCTTGTTATATAACCTTGGGCCTTGGTATGCTTTAGGTTTGATGCACCTATTCAATGCAGTCAATGTATTAGGATCAGTTCTAGTTGCTCTGTATAAGAACAGAATGTCTACTGGTTATATCTGCATCTACAGAACCAACTATGTATCAATATGTAATTGAAAACTTGTTCTAACAATTGCACATTTTTTGCAAAAACTAAGAAAAACAATGGATTAGTATAGAGAACAAGAAGCCTGGGCTATGGAGCATGAGAAAAGGAAAAAGAAAGAAGTAAAGAAAGAAAAATGTTCAGAAAGAAGTAAAGAAAAGAGACCTAGAAGAAGAACGAAAAAAGGACTTTTATGTCTAGAACAGAAGAAAGAGGGTTTGAGAGTTTATTTGCAGGGTATAAAGAAGAAAGAGAAAAGAAGCAAGTATAATTAGAGAGTGAAGGAAGTTAAGAAGGTTGGAAATTTTTCATATACTGGTAGAAAATTTATGTTTGAATCTCCATATGTAACTCTTGACCATGGTCAACCTGACATGTCAACATATGATATTATATACACAAAAGCAATGATTAACTTTCATTAACTACTATACATATACATGTAGCTCACATATATATTCTCAGACAGCAAGCATGGAAAAATAAAAATAAAAATAATACAAGTATGTTTTGCTTGTAAATACTGTGTCATGCAAAAGCAAGAGCGAGGGAATACTTGAGAGTCTGTCATAAGGGATGCAAAGAGGGTTCAGAGGGAGACTGACGGGTAAGGAATGGTCTGAGGCTGAATACTTCCACTGTTACAGCTTTACGAGGCACCTCATCCTTCCCTTACGCACTACACTCAGATCTCTACGTTTGCATTGTTTTAATTTCATTTACCTGGAAGATGACAGGAGATCTTCCTGGTTGTAGGAAGACGTACTCATAATTCTGTGTATGAAGTGGTGTGCTGGCTCAGTAACAGGACTCCTTCCATCTCTCTGAAAATTTGCAAAGCAGGCGTTACACAAAAGTAGAATTTCATATGGACTTCCTCATCTTACTGGACTTTTTGCAGTCTAATCCATACTTTAATGAGAAAGTTTCAGAGATTACTTAAAAGATGGGTGAACCCTGCAGCTCTAATTGAAATATCTTTTCTAATATAATTCTTTTGAGATGATGAGTGAAGTTATTCTAAATTATGAGTCTGAGTTTTGAACACAGTTTTAAACAGAAGCCTAGCAAAGTGTGTGAAGAATATCAATTTCCATTTCTAAACTTTAAATATATTTTCATTGTATTTTACTAAGTTTAAAAAGAAGAAGAACAGAGACATAAACAATTCAGAAGCTTGCAAGTTCAATCATCATAACATATACTTTGGTCCCTTTGTTGGGAAAATGTGTGCTTCTGAGAGTTAACTAAAATTATATGTTTGTTTTTTCTGGTTCCTCTCAGCTTTTGTGTTAACTTGAGAATCATACCAAATGAATAATCAATTCAAAATTGTCCCATTAGGGGATCGTAAATTATATATTCTCCAAAAATAAGAACAGTGCACATTTTTAGACAAGGACAAACCCACAAGGTCATTGAAGTCCAGAGGGTCCTTTGAGGTTTTGGAACCAGTAGTAAGCCCTGCTCAGTACAGTGACAGTGGAGTTCATGGCTGATTGTAAGGGTGGATGTTCAAATTATTTTGAGTAACTTCAGCCAGGCAGCAGATCATTATTTAAGAAAGAATTTAGCCAGGTAATATGTTCAAAAGTTGCAGCCTATTAGGAGAAAGGATCCAAAAACAACTAAACATCCCTCCCTCCCTCTTTAAAGTTTTTCTATCTTTTTTTTTTGTATTACTGTGGTTGCTAGGCAATAGTGTCAATTTCTAAGGACTTTTAAAACTTTCTCCTCTCTCTTTTTTTTTTTGTACCGGGAATTGAATTCAGGACCTTGTGCTTGCCAGGCAGACGCCTGTGCTGCTGAGCTACATCCCTGGCCCTAAAACTTCTTCCTATCTCAACCAGCTTTGAGATCCCATCCCTTGGCATGAGACTCTCTAAGACATGTTCAGCGGCCAGCCCAACTACAGAAGGGCCAGAATATATAATTTTAAGTGACTCCCTTCTTGTTTTCTTAATTGGTTTCCATGTTCTGTTTCCCCTCAACTGCTCACTTATCTGGCTTTCTTTGCGTTTTCTGCTTTCCCTTAGCTGAGTTTCATAGTAGATCTTATTTTCCATACTTTGTAAATATTTACAGGCTTAGGAGGACAAACAATCTATTTTGATATCCTTTTTCTTCCTAATCAGTGTCTATTCTTGGATGGAACTGTGAACTTCTCCACTCTTTCTTGACACTGGCAGTCACTTACCTTGTGGTGCGACTTTTTCTTTGTGGATGGGTGTGTTTCACTCAAGCTTTTGGAAGTGGCCATGTGGAGCTCACCAGCAGCTCTATTACCTTGTGTCTTGTTAGATTCTATTTGGTTTGAGGCTGCTTCCATGCGTTTGGTAGTCGAGGCGGATGTGGGCTGAGAATGTCTAGATGGTGATAAATAGTTTTCCATGCTATCCGTGGTGGTGGTTGGCTTGGAAGGAGCAACTCTGCCTTGTATTAGCTTCATAACTTCCTTCACTTCATCTTCAGACAGTTCTCCTATGGACTTTTGTCCAAAATACTCTCCTAAAACAACTTCATTTTGATCAGATGCTATATCATCTTCTGTAAAATAGTCTGTATCTTCCTGATTAATATCATGAGCCACTAACCGAATGATGAGGTCTTTTCTGTTTCGGACGTCTTTTAAAAGTTCTACCTTGGAGATATCTGGCTTTCTTACATTTTGAAATGAATTTCTGCAAACAGCCTGAAATTGAAGGTGCAACAAATATTACCCAGAGACATCTCAATCTCTTTTCCTGTACTACTATTATGAAATAGCTATTTTCTAGACTTTTTTTTGTTGCTGTTGTTTTTCTCTGGTACCGGGCATCGAACTAACAACCTTGTGCTTGGCAGGCAGGCACTGTGCCACTGAGCTAAATCCTCAGCCCTGAAATAGCTATTTTCTTATGATTTGCTTCAGTTGAAGTAATATCTTTAAAGGCCACTGACTGGTGTATCAGTAATTTTTTTTTTTTTTTAAGAAAAGACACAAAAACTGTACTTTTCTGATGTTTGACATTTCTTTCACATGCAGATCATAGTTCAAAAATCAACTCTAATATGGGTTCTATTTTGCTTAAACTTTACATTTCTTTACAAAATAACTGCATTAGTTACGATTTCTGTCATTTTTCTATAAAATTTTGATAGAAGCAGATAACTAACACCATTTTTAAGCCTAAATATTTGATTATAGAGAAATTTAAATACACATACTTTTAGGAAAATAAGCAAGATGTTTCCTGATTATCACTTATAAAAATGAGTAGCCACATGTGTAGAATCTAAATTTTTGCTCATGTCTTTCCACTCTTGATCTTTCAGAAATACGGCCCAAAATATTCTTTAAAACATAAATCTTCATGTGTGGTCAAATGTCTACTTCCATTTTCAATGTTAAAGAGAGATCAAAGATAAGACTATTATAATTAAATAACAGAATTACCCCATTTTTATTGCCTTTACCTATGACTTAGAACCTGTACATTTGTTTTATAATTTTAGACTCAATCTTCCTTTGTGACTTTGCATGACATCTTTTCAGATAAGGATGCCTTTAAGGAATAAAAGATCCAAATAATCAACTTTAATTATCCATTGTAGTATAAAAAAGTGTGGTCTAGAAATTCTGAAATCATTCTATGCCATGGCTTTGGCATTTGTTATGGCATCATTTTTACTGTGCAAATGTCTGAAAAGTTAAGAATTTATAGTATTTCAAAACAGAATTAAATTCTCAGGCAAAGTATAAAATGTCTAGGCTAGCATTTGATCTAACTTTTCTCTTTTACTTCTGTTTGCCTTTGTTAAGAATAAACCACACTCATATGCAGATTGCTACATAAATTTTATATGCCATGGTGCTGCCTCCCTTACCCTACTGCTGTTTGTTTTTCTTTCTCTTAAAAAGACACAGGTAATTGTTCTTGTTTAAAACCTCACTTTCTGTTTTCTGTTGTTTATAAATATGTTTACAAGACATATTTGGTGCCTAACAGCGGGATTTGTTACAAGCAATTCTATGATTTAAAATGGATTTTGAGTAATTGCATTCTATAATATTTTCACAAAACTTTTACTTCCAAGCAATTATTTATATATAAGTAAATACCGCTAAATTTGTGCTAATGTAATGACAACCTAGAGCTCTGAAAGAAGTAATTTTAAAACTGGAAGGCAGCGTTGTATGCTCCAAGAACTAAGGATGACAACCACTATGTCAGTCTCAATATTTGAGCTTTAAAATATAAAGAAGTAATTAACTTACTTATGAGTCTTGAGACTTAGTTCAATTAGATGTATAACTATGTTAGAAAAAATTCATTCTTCATTTATGCTCCAAGGAACATGATTGGAGAAAACTTTATTTAGATAATCTCCAGGCTGCAGACTGTACCCCCTTGGCACACACAGACCTCTTAGCAAAGGCCCACCACAAATACTAGATGCTTTTATAAAAATCAACACGAGTAATGGACTACTGTAACTTGATACATAGGCCAGATGATTTTGTTTTCTTCACTAGTGGCTTTCTTATAAAAAGAAAGTAATTTTGGACATTTTGAAGTCTTAGTTAATTTAATTTATTCTTGGCCTGGGTACGGGGCTATAGGGCACAGCTGTGTCTAAACCAAAAGGAAAGTTTCACAAAAATAGCCACAGGAAGCTGACTCTAGAGCAAGGGTACAAGAGGAAGGAAATGGGGCGAACCTGAGAGTATAGAGCAAATGAGAAATGTCAGTGTCATTAAATCATAAGAACAAATGTAATCTAGGAGTTTCCAGTCTAATCCTTGTGGATGAATGTGATTAAAAGAAAAGAAACAGTACTGTGGAGCTTTAAAAGTGAGAACTGAAATTATTTTAGGTCGTTTTATGCACCCTGATGTTCTATTAACTGCCCTATTTTGAATGTTTTTAGGTAGCCATAATGAAGAACTAATGGAATGATATACAACTATGTTTCTTTTGAGTTATGAAATAACAATTATAACTTCTGTCTGGCATTATTTTAAAGATAGGTATTTACATTCCTATTCTTTAAGAAAAACTAAATTAAGTGGATTACCTTTGGAGAAGTAGCCCAAGACCTGTGAGGTGAGTCACAGAACTGGTGAAGCCATCCTTGTGAGCCATGTGACTGTATAAATGAACTAGTGGGACAGCTTTCTGTTGGCTTAGCAGCAACTACAAACACGCATTCCCATATAACTATCTGAGGAAGGAAATTGTGGGACAACCAGGTTGTGGTGTCACTCATTTTTCTGCCACTGCCTTTGCACTTACCTCAAAGGGCTTTACATCCAGTCGACCTGTACTATTCAAAGAGGTACGTCTTTCTTTCCTTCTCTCTTCTAAATCAGTTGGTTTCATGGCAGCGTAACTTCTCCCATTTACAGACGCTTGTCTCAGTTCCTCTATGCTCTGTCCAGTTCTTCTTAAACATTCTGTCTTCATTTTCTCAAGTGGCTCAGTCTTTACAGAGATGACTGCTAAGTGCTGAGAAATAATATGTGGATCTACTTTGATTGCTTTCTTCCCGACATGTGGAATTATTACAACTGAGCGTTCTTCTGCAGATCTCCCTTCATCTGACTCATTTTGGTTAGCCATCATTTTCTCAGCATGCTTTTCTGTCTTTTCGATGATTCTATCAATGTCCAGATCTTCAAAGACACCGGCATATGAACTCTTTGAGGTACCCCTATCTAATGGAACTCTTGATACTCCATCGATAATTAAACTGGCCACCTTAGAGAAGACTGTGTTTGCATCTTTTAGGTCATAAAGTTCTTCATGGCTTCCAGCTTGTTGTAGCATGTCACCATAGACAGAATCAATAACCTGAGAAATCATGTGCATTTCTTCCAGATTTGAAGAGCATTCTTCTGGTTCAGAAGCCACTAGACTAATATTACTTCTCGAAACTTCAGCTGTTACAGATTTTGTCAGTTGTGATGCAATTTTATTTAAGTCAGGTTTTGATAAGTTGTGTGCCTCTTGGCTTGAGATACGAGGTGATCTTAGTAGTTTAGCCAAGAACAAAGCCAACGCTTCCTCTAAAACATTGGCGTCTAACATAAAACATTTTTCGGATAAAAAGTTTTCCTGAGACTTCAATTTATCAACAATTTTGAGCACCTTTTCCATAATTTTGACAGCTTCCAGAATTAGTTCTGAAGTTGGTATTTCTTCTTCTACTTGAGGTTGAAATTCACAATTGGAAATTTCGTTCACCATTAAAAAACCTATTATGTCAGAAAGGACATTGCTTTGACCCATTAAATCTTTAAATACAGAAGTATAGGAACCAGAGTGTTTTAAAACACTGGTATAAACAGAATCAACTATCTTTTCAATAGTTTCGCTGTCATCTAAAGATACAGTAGGTGATTCCTTGGCAGATCTTGTAAGTCTGATCTTACTCCTGGAAAAAAATTCTTGGAATGAATTTAGTATTTTTGAGGTTATTTTTTGCATTTCAGTTTCTCGAGATTTACTTTTTTTCTTATGCACTTTTGGAAACACAGATAAGAGCTTTGACAGAAATTTTACAGCAATTTCTTCTATTATGTTGTAAGACACTTTATGAGCATGAGGTGGCGGAGGTGTAGTAGTCTGGATGATGTTGAAAAGGATACTTTCAACTACGTTGTCAACTTCTGCACATTGATGTGGTGTTAACTCTCCACAGAAGTAGTTTTGCAGCTGATTACCAGCTACCTCTTTTAGAACTAGGTCAACTATGGTTTCTGAAAGAAGCCTGCATCCATTCGATACACAATTTTGTATGACTTCTTGTGATCCAAATTGTGGCAAAAGATTATTATAAATAGACTGAACCACCAATTCAATAATTTCATCATCATTGGGGTGCAAAGATTCCACATACTGTACAATCATATTTTCATCTTTGGAAATCTCTGCTGCAATTTTACTTACTAATTCCATCTGAAGGAAATCAAATTCTGTGGAATATTTGTTTTCAGGTATTTCTGCTTTGGTGATGGTGTCGGATATTTTTGAGAAAATTTTTGATAAAAGGGTAGAAATCACATCCTCTAAAAATTGATGAGGCAACATGACAGTGTATGGTGATGTTGTCTGACATTCTTTGCTGGCTGTTTGTGTTGCCTTTTGGACCTTCTTAACAAGATCTTTAGAATCCAGAGGCAAACAGGCTGAACCTGGAGCCTCATCACAAAATACCAAGTTAAGTTGATGTTGAAAAAGTTCATTTATCACTGCACTAGCTAATCGTTTTACTAAATTTTCACCATTACTGTTAATGTGCTGACAAAGAGATTCTTGACTTTTATATTCTTTCAAAATATTGCAAATAGAAGAGTGAGCAACTTTATTGGCCAGTGTTTTATCAATTGATGGTATTTCTTCTAGGAGAGGTATCTCAGGTGAAGAGAGTTTTGCAGTCACTTTATGCAGGTCTGGCCTTTTATCCATGTTTTTTACCTTCATTCCTGACAACGCTTCATCTGTAGTTGATTCTTTATTCCTGGAAGGTGCTGTAGGAACTGAAGACACTTTACTTGCGTGTGGGAAAGATGTGTTTTCCTCATCAGGCCTAAATACCTCAATTTGAGCATCTGAAAACTCCTTTATCAGTGAATGGAAAAGTTTCATAGCTGTATCATAGAGTTCAGTTTGATTCTGACTGTCATTTACATTTGGATATGTTTCACTTGTTTCTGCTTCTGGTGAGGAAGAAAACAGCAGTTTGTTAACTACTTCAGTGAGAACATCTTCTAAAAAATTAGCAGGGAAAACTCCTGGCTTGCTTTCTGGTAGGTACTGAGGATGATCTGTTTCAGTAGCTTTACTTCTAACCTCCTTTCCTCCTGTTCTGTCTTCTGTAGTTTTCTCATTTTCTTTTTGTTGCTTGCTTTTATTTTCTTCCTCTCTTTGTCTCTCTTTCATTTTTTCCCCTGTCTTTTTGGCGTAGTGTTCTTTGTTCACTGAGGGAGGTAAACTCTTTGCTTTAACAGACTGGGTAGATCCCGTGCCTGGCTCCTGAATTACATTCAGCGCTTGGTAACCAGGGAAGCTTTTATGTCTGTATTTTGGGAACTCTGATGGTTCTTGAAGAGAAGTCCTTACTAAAACATTCCCATAAATGTTTTCAATGATGTTTTGAACAGTTTCGTAATCTGAGATTTGATCGTCCGTATCCATGTCAGTAAGAGAGTCTGTTATTGCTTCATTTCTTGGCTTTTGGGTTGTTTTCAAAGTTTCCTCTTTTGTAGTCTCAGTATGTTTCACCGTGGGCTTCCAAGAAGATAACTGGACATCCTGACTATTTCCTTTTATGGAACTTTCCTTGGCTTTGTCCCTGTTCTTTTCACTGTCTGTTTGAAATTCTGGCACATCCTTGTATTCTCTACTGGAAACAACTTTAAAAGGTGTTTGTGTTTTACTACCCTGTGACTCCGCATTTTTTGGGATCGATCTCTTGGTCTTTTCCAGAGCATGATTTTGAACCGCTTTGCTCAAATCTTGCTCCTTCCTATTTTTATGGGTAGCTGGAGAAGTAACTCCTGATGCACGCTTATTACTTTTTGGAGTCAAACTTCCGGGTTTATTTTTATCCTCTTTTTTTTGATGTGCCCTACCTGCAGATGGCCCTGACCTGAGGGTGATCACATTGCTTTGTACCATGGTAGTGCCAGAGGTAAGCACTGGATTTTGGATGTCTTCTTTCTTCCCTGATAGGTCTTTAGTGTGGGAATTCTTTCTACTCATTGCACCTCTATTTTGATCCAAACTGACTATCATCTTTTTTTGATCTGAGGTTAGGGCAGTTTGTTTATGTGACTGTTCTTGTAGAGTAAGCTGGTTCTCTTCTGAGTATCTAGTTATCTGCATAGAGGTGTTCTGTGGTAAGTGTTGAACCCTTTGGGTGATGGTATCTGGATTTAAAAATGAAAAGAAGGTGGAAGACCAGTCTCCTGAAAATAGTGGTTGAATCTTGAATGCAGAGATTGCCTTCTGGGCTAAAGCAGCAATCATTTCTACAACAAAGTTACTTTTACCATCCTTCTGAATATCATTGGATCCAAATTTCCCTATGAACTGATCATACACAAAACTGGATATGTCAGCCACTATTTCTTTATCAATTGGTGGAAAAGAAAATTTTTCTTCAGCCTGTGGTAAAACTTTGATTTCCTTTTTTCTAAATTCTCCCAGGAGAGCATTTACAAATTTGATAGCTAAGCCCACAATATCTGGTTCTTGTGTTGCTCTTTTCTTGGAATCTTTTATCGCTGGGAATGAAAAGAATTTGCGAACAAGGTCAACTACTAAATCTTCCAAAAATGTAGCTGAGAACAGAGAAGCTTGTGTTGTCCCTTTACCAGATTTAGTAACTACAGAGGCATGGTCACAACCAGGTTTGTGACTGGAAGGTGATTCTTCACCATGTAAAAATGGTCGTAAATGATGATCCATAATTTCTTTCATAATGAAGCCAGCTATTTTACTGAGAAATGATCCTCCTTTTTTGCCTGCATCTTTCTGGACTTCAGCTTGGAATTCTGGTTTTCTCAAAATATTATTACATATGGAGTCCACCAAATTCTCCAGGACTTCTAACTGCGTACTTTCTGCATTGTCCACTGCAGTGGCAAGTCGGATCTCATGTTCAAAAATTTCTTTTATAATTTCATCGGTCATTGTGGAAGCTGCAGCTGCAAAATCATCATCCGGAGTAAGCTCTTCTTCTGTTAGTTTGTTTTCAGTGTCAGTTGGAGGAAACATAGGCGCCAGGAGCTTGTAAATCATATCTTCTAATAGAGCACGAGGAAACACAGTAACACATGACGGCAGAGCACTGTTATCACTCAAAATGACACCGAGTACGTTTCTGACGATGTTATCAGCTTGAAGGGAAGAACAGGAAGAGGATACTAATTCTCCTGAAATTAATGACTGCACCTGATAATCATAAATTTCTTCCAACAGCAAATGGTATATTTTTCTTCCAAAATAGGTAGTGTCACTCTGCATAGCCCTATACACTTGAATTAAAGATTTATATTCATCTAATAATTTTTCATAAATCAAATTGACAGTTGCTCGAATCATTTCTTTGTACTCCTCGGAAAAGCACATATCTTTATCTAAGTTATCTGCAACTAAAATCTCTGATGCAGTAAATTCGAGAACAATTGATTTTACTAACGCTGTAACAATATCAGCCGTTTGGGCTTTTGCTGTGTCTGGGTTTTCAAAAGCCAAGACATTGTGTGAGAATGCATAAAGAAGTTTGCATAAAAGCTCAGAAATGACTTCCTCCAGGAAGACAGTGGAGTTCACAATGCAAGACCATCTTTTACGCTTAGGAGCCATTGCGTTTTCTTTGTAAACATGGTCAACTGGAGCTGGAAGAGAGCAGTTATCTCCAGATAAAAATGACTGTAGATGATGGTTAAAAATTTCTTTTATGATGAAACTTGCTATTTTTGAAACAGGTATGTTACTTAGGCCTTTCTTATCTTTTGTGAGAGATTGGTATACATTTGAATGGGAAAGATCAGAATAGATGGAATCAATCATGGACTGTATATCTTTTTCTGGAATCATATTTTGTTTTTCATTTCCCTGTTTAGTGATACAAATTGCATTCTTTGAAATTATTGTCATGATCTCATTTATCAGTTTCATAACTGTATCACTTAAGTCTGATTGAGAAGTACCTGGATGTTCTGTAGTGGATGTCAATATATCAATCTGAGATACAAGCTGAGTGACTATTCTTTCCAAATGATTTTGTGACAATAGAGTAGTGTATATGGTTGAAGCCTGTCTTCGGAACCTTGACTTACTAATATCACAGTGAACTCTACGTATCAAAACGTTTTCACTGAGTTTGGAATGGGATTTAAAAGACAGATTTGCTACAAGATTTGGACGAATTTGGAAATCTAAAATTTCAGTCAGGATGATTGTAGTTATCCGAGCAGCCAATGTCCTTGTGTCACTTAGAAAGTCTTTACGAGGCCAGATTTCCATTTCATATTCTTCTAAAACTCTACTATAAACTGTATCAGTAATACTTTTTACTATGTCTTTCTCCACTGGAGGCAAACGCAGTTGTTTCTCAGCATTTTCTATAACGGTAACTTGGGCTTTTGAGAATTCCTCTGTTATAAAATGTATGAGTTCTTCAGCTTTATCAAAAAGTTCATCTTCTGAATCTCTCATGTCTGTCACTTGTACAATACCAACTACCCTGTGAAATATTTTTCTTAAAACCCCAGATACCACATCCTCCAAAAAGGTTGAGGAATAAGCACTGGCATAGAATGACTGCTGTCTCTTATGAAAAGGTGTGTAGGATGGGGAAGATGAATTTACAACCAAAAATGGCTGAAGATGTTGTTCACAGACATGTTTAATGATGAAACCTGCGATTCTATCGATAAGAACATCGTTGGTGCTTGCAATATTTTGCTCCACTGATTCTTGAGATTCGGAATTGTGTAAAATATTTTTGAATACTGAGTCCACAAGATGCTGGACATCATCTTCTGAATAAACAAACTTGTTTTTTTCTTCATCTTTTGAAAACTGAATTTCATGTTGGGAAATTTTCACCCTAATATCAGTGATTAGGTTGGAAGCAATTTCATTAAAATTCATTTTTGATTTCTCTTTTGGCATTTCTCTGTATGGAACCACACCGGACGCTGCGGGAAAGAACCTTGCTAATAGTACTCTGATCATATCGTCTAAGAATGTGTATGGCAGTAAGGTGTCATATGGAGGTAAACGCTGGTTTGACCTGGCAGATTGACTTAAGTTATCAAGGACGTCTTCAACAATATTCTCAGCCATCAACGTGGAATAAGATGAAGGTGACAGATCACCAGAAAACAACGGATGAAGAAGATAGTTTGAAATAGCTTCCACAATTAAATTAGTAATATTTTCCACAAAGAGATCACCATTGTCAGCCTCTTTGTTAATGTTAGGGTCTAGTCCGTACTGGTTTAACACATTCCTATAAACTGAAGTAACAAGTCCATCTACCATATCCACATCTATTGAGGGCAAAGACTTCTTGTTGCATAAATTGTGAATTTCACCTTTGTCAAAATACTGGTTCACAGAGTTTACTATCTTTTGTGTCATGCTTTCCAGCTCAAATTCAGCATTAGGCCTAGGGCTAAAAATTCTTGACAAAAGTTTGGCAACCATCTCTCCTATGAATATATCAGGGGAAATACTTACAGACTTCTTAGATCTGTGTGATTCTAGGGTTTCATCAAGAACCTGTTTAACCATATTAGATACTGCATCCAGGGAAGTCTCTGGATGAGATAAAACCTCTCCACATAAAAATGGTTGAAGATGGCATTCAATAATCTCTTGGATAATAAAACTTGCTATACGATCAATCATAATGGGGTTTCGGCTAAGTATACCTCTCTGTATTGAAACAAGAGAGTCAGACATTTGTAAAATACTGCCATAAACAGAGTCCACCATCTTTTCGAGATTTTTTTCTGAAGAGAGGTGTTGATTTTCATAGCTAGTAAGCCAGATTCTATGTTTTGAAATGGCTGACATAACCTTATTTGTAATACAGGTGGACAGTTCATTAAAATCTGAACTCATTGCAAATGTTTTTTCCAAAGAGGAAGGTTTAACAGATGGTGGAATGAGCTGAAGTAAAAGTCTTCTGATAACATCTTCTAAAAATGAGTGTGGTAACATGGTGCGATAGCTTTTTGAAGACCTGGCTTGGAAAGTGAGGTTTCTTAGGTTGCTTTGCAGCTTCTGCAGTATAACTTCAGCTTCAAGAGGGTAGCATGAATGAGTTCTGAGGTTTCTCTTGAGGGAAGATGGGAGCTGGTAATCTAAAATCTCTAACAATATACCATTTGTGATTTGCTGAGCCATTGAACCATTTGCACATGCCAGGTTATTACCGCAGGTCATTTTCAATTCATATTGGTGTAAAACATCATAATAAACTGAGTCAACGATCTTTCTGACCATTTCTTTATGGATTGGTGGAAAATACAGCCTCTCTTCAGCATTCCTCAGAACCATGACCTGAGCGTTATTAAACTCATTTACTACATGGTTGACAAACAATGTATTCATCTCATTGAGCTGGGCCTCAGTGATGCTTGTGTTTTTTTCCCACAAGGATGTAGAGAAATGAAAAAACAACTCTGAAATTATTTCCTCCAAAAATGTGGCTGAATAAACACCTGTATTCATATCTCTTTGATATATGTTACGAATGACTACTGCATCCATTTCCTTTGTTTTCTGTCTATTAAGAGGTGAGCATGAAGAGGATTTTACTGTACATTGCTTGCCAAATGATACTTGCATTTGTGAGCTAGCCACAGATGGATTATTTAGGGATCCTGTCAAAGAGGTACTATCATAAGTCATAAATCCTAAAGAGCCTTTACCTTGTCCTAACTCCATGAGTTCTGGCTCTTCTGGCTTTGTGTAATTAGACTGTATTTCTCTTCTTATATTGTTCAAATATTTGTTTTCAAACCAGGGACATTCAGGAGCTTCTTGTAAACTATGCGATAGTTTATCCATCAAAGATTTCACCAAGCTGTGAGAAATAATAGTAAGCATACTATCTGATGACAATAAATCTTGATCCATTTCTGCCAGATTTTCCAAGGAATGTGACACACAATCTCTCTGAAGTTCTTTGCAACTCCCTGATTTCTTACAATAATTGAGATCTCCATTTTCTATCCTTTGAAGTATTTTTAAAAGTTGATGTACTTCTGTTGATATTTCACTAGCAAGAAGACCGTTATCAAGAAAACCAGTGGCTGTACATTTTTCCAGAAGTGTCCTAATAAGTTTCTCACATACCACATTAAGAAGAAAAACTGACTTGGGAGACAGAACTTGGTTATTTCTAAGGATGCTATTACTTTGTGGATTGTTTGGGGAAGAGAAGCATCTTGCTATTTTACCAGAGTCCACAGCTCCATCTGGGGATTCATCTGGCAAAAATAAATCTAAAACAATATCAAATACTTTGTTGACTACATTTTTGGATTCCTCAGTTTTTAGGCTGCCCATCAGGTGATCTAACTGAGATGTCAGATAATTTAACTTATTTTTCTGAACAAGTTGATCAATTTGCTGAGCTGATGATTCCCAGCCTCTGGGGTGTAGTAGTTCTGCAGTATTGGTTTCGCCACTAATAGACATATTATTGCTTCCAAGCATGGAGCATGGTTTGTGTCTTCCATTGTTTTTAAAGTGATGATTTATTCCTATTTCTTCAGAAAGCACTTGAATCACTCCTGTTAAGAGATCTTGAAAAAAATCATCAAAGTTGGCAGAAGTTATTCCTGGACAGTAAGTGTATTTTGTTTTTGTGGAAACCATTTGCTGTCCACCGTAAGCCTCTACAATATTACTACTGGCAAGAATTTCAATAACTATTTCAGAAATTCTTAAAGCGAGCTCTCCAATAGATATTGATCTGTTCTCAGATACTTGAGAATGAATCAAAATAATCTTGTTAAATGCCACACCTTGGATTTCCCATAGTTTGTCTTTTTCTCTGCCCTCCATGGTACTATCAGAAATGTTTGAAATTAAATGGCAAATGACTGATTCAGAGAGATGTTTACAGAACTGATTAACTGAAGAATTACTGTACATGCTTCTTAGAGGCTGTCTTGATTCACAGTTTTTACTTGACAGTGTAGAAAGAAGAGATACCTTCTCTGCAGTAAAAATAAAAAAAAGGAAACATTGTCATTTTTACCATACATGAAGGAAATGGAAATTCCATGTGTTGGTAATTATTTACACATGTTGGAAATTACTTAAACATATATGTTACCTTTGTAGTACCTCACTAAAGGGAAAGAAGAACCTAAGGAAGAAATAAATTGTGTTTTTCCTCAAATATTTATTTCTCACGTTGTGGGATCTTAATTTTACCCAGTAAGTTTAGAAAATAACATCAAAACTCAAACCTCTAAGCCAGGTGTGGATATTTGTCTTGGACAGTTATCAGCTCTAAGTTAGAAATTCTAGAGCAGAGAAATATTTTACAGGTTCAGTGAAACAATCTTTAATTTCTTCAGTGATGCCTAGAAGTCTCACAGAAATATTTAAAACTATTTTTATTCAAAACATTTGAAGTTATGTTCTGTTTAACTTTTAGGATGCTATGGAGTTTTGTTGCAATATCATCTTGACTAAAATAAAAGTTTGCAGCTCCAGAAATGTTAGTAACTGATTACAACGGCAGAAACAAGCATCAGAACTTTGAAAACCCTGGATTCCATGCCTGACACTCGAGCAAAATCCCCTGCTTTAAAATTGTCTCATTTTTTTCATCTACTGATATGGAAAAGTAAACAACAAAACCTTTCAGTTTAAGGCATGCAAACATTTAACGTTTTACTATTTTTGTTTTAGCATCCTGGGAGATTAGAAAGCTGTTAAAATAGTCACTTCACCTTCAAAGCTATTTTCATTAAAAAACTGAGAAAGCATATTCCTTAACAGATCTTTTAAGCATGTCTTTTAGTATGTTCCCTGAATCACATCAACTTTTTCAATTTAATTTTTAAATTTCTATTGATATGTTTGCAGTACATAATAATTACAACTCTCATGGGAACCTAGTACAAATATATAGCACATCCGAATAGTTATCCCTTGCTTACCTCTTGCTTTGAAGTTCTTCAAATACGTGATCACAGATGTGGTGACATGCATTGCTATCAAATGAATTTCATTTGGACCCAGCTCGTGATCGGCAAATGCAATGACTCCAACTTCTTTGCGAGTCTCTGTTTTCTTTATCTTTGGAGTCTTGTTCTGCCATTTTTGCAATAAAGAAAAATCTCCCCCACAGGCTTCAGGGATTTCACCTTCTTCAGGCCCACAGCTGATTCTTTTAGTCCACATTCTAAGCAAACTCTTGTCCTTATTCTTTTGTCCTGTGGACATTTCAGATAAAGAGTTTTGCTTTGATATAAAAAATGGTTTCATTGTTTCCATGCTTTTATTAGTGGGTAGTTGACCTGGAAAACCATAGCTGGACAGCACAGTATTGACAATATTTTCTGCAGCTAAACATATTCTGAGTGGAGAAACAGTTGTCTGAATTTGGCTAGGCTCAAAAACTGGTTTTAGAGTTCCATAATGAAATACTCTTGGATTTTCACCTTTTCCCATTTCTATGAAAGACATGACTTGCTTTAAAGATGCTTCCGTGGAGTCATTTGCTTTCTTAAACAGTTTTTGTAAGACACTGCCTTCAGGGAAGGGGCTGCTTTTTTTCATGGCTTCATCAAAATGGCCCAAGGTAGACTGCACTTGGTGATGTTCTTGAACTTTATTTCTAGAACCTACTGACATAGTTTCTGAATCAAACGTTCCCAATGACCCTGAACTTTTAACTGTGTCTTCTACAGAAGATGTGACATATGAGGGTAAATTGGATGAAAACTTGTACTTTCTTCTAGTATCTTCCCATGAATAAAATACCAAGCCAGGTGCATTTCTTTGTGGAAGATTAGGTCCTAAATTAGCATCTTCTAACTTTGGAGTGGGCATTTTCATATTATTTGCAAATTCATCCTTCTCAACAGCGTTAGTGTTTCTAGTTCCTTGGAACGCACTTTCCACTGAAAGGTTTCTAATCAAAGACTCACTGAAATGAGTACATTGGTCCATTAATGTGCCAATGATCTCACTTGCTACCATATTCTCTTTCAGTATATTAGTAGAACATGGTTCCTTTTGTTTTATTTCTTTGTCCAGTTTGCTCTTGATCATAGCAAGCATGTCACAGACAATATGAACAGCATATGTAAGTAGCTCCGAATGAAATGAATGAACCTGCAGGAGAGTATTCTGTATGTTTTCTTTGGAAATAGCAGTGCTTGGCTTGGATTCATCAGAGAAGTTCTTCAGTGGTTGTAATTTGGGTGACATCCTCTTGCTTAATAGTCTCTGTTGGACTTGGAAAAGGTTATCAATAGGCATTTTCACTATTTCAGAAAATTCATATTTAGAGATATGCTTAAACTGTAAGTCCACAAATGACTCCAACAGATTTAAAACCCTTCCTACAATTTCTTGAGTAACTTGCTTGTAAGAGGTGGGGGAAATTTGATCTTTTGTCTTTAGGTCACACAGTGGTAAACTGCTTATCATGTGCTTGCTTGGGAAGCCATGTTTACTTTTATCCATACTATGTTCTTTCCTATTTGTTAGAGTTTCTTTGTGACCTGGAGTGGGCATCTGGGACAAAAAGCATAGCTGCAATTTTTCAAACAGCATTTCAACAATTTCTCTTCCAAACATATTAATCTGCGCTTTGATGTCCTCTGCTCTAGAACAATCTTCTTTAAACTGATTAGCGAAACTGCCTTTACGATGCTCAAGAAGTGGCAAGTTTAAAAGTGAAAGAGAATATTCTAAGTCTTTGGCTTTTATCGAAATTTCGGTCAAAGCATTCTCAGCTATTGTTAACAGAGTATATTTTTCATTCTCCACATCGTTTGAATCTGCTTGCCATTTGTCAAACATTTTTTTAAATATACCTTCTTTAGGAAAAATCTGTTCTAGTTGTGAGGAAACATCCTCTAAGTAAAAGCATGCTTGTTCTCTAGCAGGAGAATTTAAACACCGCTGTGAAAATCTGAAATCATACAGACATGAGGATTTGATTGGAGAAGCCAAATTGTGGTTGTCTGTAGCATATAATTCTTGCAAAACTGTATTAACTATTTTGCTGGCTTCCAAAATTTGATCAGATGGTAAAGCTTTTATGTGTACCATTGCTCTAGTTTGTGTCACCCTTTCCAATTCTTTCATTATTGCTTTTAGAATATTACTTATGATATCCCTGGCATACACGTTTAGTTCTGAAGGGGGAAGTTTCATTTCCAGGAAGTTTTTGGCATCTCCTGTTGCAAAGATGTTTGGCAACTGAATGGCAGTTTTTGACTGACCATCTCTTGGAGGCTTCTCTCCAGCACTTAACTTGGTCTTGCTTTTTGCCTTAGCACCAATAGGTCCTGCATGTGGTTTTGCTCTAAATTTATGCAAAGATCTTGCTTTTAAACCTGTTTTAAAACCTGGTTTCAGGCTGTCCTTAAGGCTAGCTTTAGAGATCTGTAGTCTACAAAGTTGTAACTCCTCGGAATGTCCTGCAGTGGACAAATTCTCTTCTAGATGTAGTGAGACAAAATTTGTGATCTTATTGAGGACTATTTGCATTAAATCTTTTCCTATTTGTAATGGTGAAGATTGCAAAAATGTGTTTCCTAACACAGAAGCAGTGTGACTGTCTGCAGTGGAACAGACCTCGGGTATCCCACATCTAGGGGAATTACTTCTCTTTCCTGCTTGTTTAGTCCCCCTAAAGCATAGTGACTTTGTGAGTAAGGTATCATTCTTGAAGGGTGTTTCTCCTTCTCCTCTACTTTCACCATTTTTGTATAACAATGTTACAATAACAGAGTACATTTTACCACAAACACATTCCGTGATATCACTTGCTGCACTGCTAATGTGTGACTGGCGGTCTTTTCCCTCTGTATCTGAAGTTTTAATTTTAGAATTAGAGTGGAGGACTTCACTCAAGGGGAGCAAATGGCCTATGACTTCCATTACTTTTTGATCTAACTTATTCAAAAGTTCGGCCACTTTTCTGAGCAATTCAGTTTTTTCTTTTTGTTCTGACTTTCCACTTCTCATAAATATTTCTTCCAAAACAGTTCTCTGGCTTTCCTTTTCAAATGCTGTTTGGTTTTGTTCTAATGGATAGTTTGCAAGCGGGGATAATGAAGTGTTTTTTTCCTTGTCTTTGTGTCCCAGCAGTATTTCATTTGATAGAGTTAATTGTGAAAAGTTAGTCTTTTCTGAGGAAGTACTAATTTCCTCGGCAGATATTTTATTATGTATAATCTTTAAGACACTGTCTATAATTTCACTCACAATCATATTTTTTTGGAATAAACTATTGCTTGGATATGGCTCTATCTTTTGGATTTCTAAGTCCAAGTCATTTTTAATAAGCTTCAAAATAGCGCTGGCAATGATATCAGCATATTCCTTCAGGCTAGCTTGTGGTAAATGAATAGTGGCTCCAATTTTTTCTCTGTAAGAGGCAAAAGTGGGTTCTGTGAGCTCTTGGCTGAGAATGGTTTTAGTTGTTGATCTTTCCAAGACATCCACATCAAGTTCTACTTGGCTTAATTCATGAAAAACACTGTCATCTTGTCTAGAATTTTCTAATTCTGGACCAACAAATGATGTTCCTTTAGGCTGAAAAGCAAGAGTAATTAGTGAATCCATTCTCTCTGTGGCAAAAGTCTGTAACCGATTGAAAATAGTTTTTGTGATGAAGTTAGCGCTTTCCTCACATGGGTCAGGAACGGATTGCTTGGTGTCTTCCTTCTCCATAACAGCCGTCTGAGTACCATCAGCATACGTTGGTTTCTTAGCACTTGAACGTGGAAAACACTCTGATTTTCCTCTGCGTTTTGACTCCATAAGAAGAGATGCTTGGTACTCCACTTCTGGAAACGTATCACAAAAGGTTGATTTTGCAAAAGCAGGATCCTTTGCAAATGTGCGAAGCACGGCCGCAGAAGCAAGACTGTAAAGAACAATATCCACTGCCTCCTTGGATAGCAAAAGGACATCTGATCTAGGAACTGAAAGTTCAGGGAAAATCTTATTTGCACCCTTAGTGAACATTTCAGAATTTGGTTCTGATCGTTTACCAGCTATGTGGTATTTCAGAGTGGGTGTGGCAAATGACAAATTATTCTTATACAGGGTTTTTTCATAAATATCACACAAGATATCTTTAACGGTATTCTCTACTTGAAACTGAAGTATTTTTTGATACTCACTTTTATTGAACAACTTTTCAATAATGTACTCCTGCGGAGCAGAGTCATTCTCTTTCTCACAGTTGTTATTTTTGCATGATATAATGTCTAGCATTGTGTTCACAATTTGACTTATAATGCTTTCAGAAACCACAATGTTATGAGTCAACAAAGGACTTTCCCTTTCTTTATCTAACTCATACTTGATCCCCTGTAAAATTTTTCTAGCCACTTCTTTTGCATAAATATTTAATTTAGACAAAGAGATTTGGCAAAATGAATTGGTCTTAGGATCCATGGAGGGAGAGGAATACTGCTCATGAGAATATGAATCTTCAGTTGATAATGCTTTGCTTAATGTACACGTATCTTGCTGAGCACGTGGAGCTTCTGGGACTGGGAAGCTGACTTGGGAACAAAAGAGAGATTTTATTTTGGAAGTAGTAAAATTTTCCAATTTTTGAAAGATTGCCTGTATAATATCTTCAGTCATGTTTACTTTGGTCTGTTTGTCACCCCTGAATCTAGGCTGAAGCGTGCAAAGATTTCTGTCCAATGAAGTAATAGAGTTTCCCCCATAAGTATGTTCATGAAAAGGAACATTTGCTGAAAATGTGATGTTTCTACATCTATTTTCACTTACATTTTCTTCTGTCATGGCAGCTGTGTAAAGTTTATGAAATACAATTCTGACAATATCACTTGCCACTATGATCTCATCTGACTCAGATACTAAAGTACCCACCATTTTATCCATAAATTGAGCAGATCTTTGAGCAGTTGCCTCACGAACATTGTGAGGCATACCATTAAAATGAGGGTGGGAGGGAAAAAGCACATTTAACTGACTGATAAAATTACTTTGAAAAATTTCATTCAAAATATTTTTTATAATGGGAAGGATTGGTGACTTGTGTGGTTCTTTGAGTTTCATTTCAATTTCATGTAAGCTTGTTTCTAGACCCCTCTGATTAGGAGAAGAGAATTTAGCTTCCTGTCTCAATGATGTCCTCTCTCTAGTATTTTTTTTCTCTGCTTGTGTGTCATCTTCTAGGAAGGAATCTGATTCAGCTCCTCCAGGAAGAAAATTTCCATAAGTGGGCTGGTATCGGTAGGTTTTGATGCCTCTGTCTTTTGATTCAGTTTCATCACACACATCTGAGGATACTACATCTAAAATTAAATTGACTATGTCCATGAACATTTGTGTCTCAGGTGATGGTTTTTTTACACTTTTCTTCAAATCATCTGAATTCACATTTAATTCTGTCTGAATGGCTTTCAAAATAGCACTTGACACCTTCTTTGCCTCCATGTATAAAACAGACTCTAGTGGTTCCTCGTGCGTGCCTGAGAAAGCACTGCTTCTGTCCACCCTATTGTCTTTTGTACTGCAATTACTAATAACACCTTGAGTTTCCAAATTTCCATTGGCAAACCCTTCCAGTTTAGTAAAGACCATATTAAGAATGTCTGAGGCAACAGCTGTCAGTGCATTTTGGTGAGTTTCTTTTGAGCTCTCTGATGTGGAAGACACAGAAGAAACACTCTTTGCCTTGCCCTTAGTAACCTCTTTGTTATCCTTCTGTATCTTTCTGGAAATTATGCTGGATATTTTGTTGGTGCATTTGGCCATTTCCTCAATAATTGAAGCAAATGATAGGTTGTCAATATCAGGAGCTTCTGAAACAGCTTTAAGTTCAGGACTTGCAAAACTGGCATCCACGTCAATAGTACATAACTTTTCAAGGATATAGTCTAAAATTGTTTTGGAAATGACCTGAATATTAGACTTCTGTACAGCAGCCATTTGTTGATCTTTGTTTGTATTTTCTCTGCTTTGCCCACTAAAAGATGCCTGAGAATCAGGAGGATTTCCTATCAGTGAGTTTAACATTTCATGTACCGTGCCCCCAATCCTATCTAATACCTGCAAACTGGCATTTTCTTTGAGGGCTTTTTTGTTCACGGCACTGTGGATCATACAAGGAGTAGCCAAATACTGGCGAAAAGATTCTTTATCCTGTCTACTTGGCAAAACACTTCGTCTTTCAGTTTTATCTTGTCTGTGTGAAGTTGTAGCCCTTGGCTTATCCGAAGGAAGCGAAATATTTCTTTGATCTTCACTTCCACTTAACAACATCTCACAAATCCAAGTTAACAATGGACTTTCCATGTCGTCATCATTGAGATTTGCTATGAGAGATTCTAATTTCTTATCAGTACCAGCCAAAAACCCTTTACTTGTGCAGGATTTATTATCATCTAGGTCCCTAAGATTTGTATTTTTCTTATTGCATTCCAGTTCATTCTGGATAGCATCTAAAATAGTGTTTACTACTTTAGTTGTGCAAGTACTAAGTTGTGATTTTAATGAAGACTGCTTGGCAGAGGAAGTTTTGAATTCTGTTTGCAATTTTGGATAAACAAATAGCTTGAGCTTTTTAAAAACTGTATTTGTGATCTTATCAATAATGTTATCTACACATTTAGGTTCACTTTCTCCAGATTTTAACCAGGAAGGCTTTATAGAATCTACATCGAGTGAAGATAAATATTTCATTTTTCTGTCGCTGTCAAACCATATTTTGAATGGCTTTTTATTTGGTGCTTCCTTGGCTGTATGAGGAATGTCAGAATTATCTAGAAAAGTTTGATGAACTGAGGATGAAGCAGAACTTTTAGTGGGACTGGACAAGGAGTTTGACGCCTTAAAAAGTATATTTAACACAGAATCTGTTATTTCTTGAGCGACTGCACTTATTTCTGACACAGAGAACATCTGGTCCATCCATTCTTGATGTGAGGGTCTTTGGGATGTTTCTGAAAGAAGAGTGGAAGTTTCTTTGCCAATTCTGCTAGCTCGATGACCAGGAGAAACAGAAGCCATACCCTTGAGCATTTCTGTTAAAATCCGTTTAACTGTGTGCTCCGAAGCCTTTTTTATTTGATGCTTTTGATCTTGATTGAAAATTGAAATGTCTTTACCCAGGCAGTGCTTTTCCCTTAAAATGTCTTCATTGATAAGAGGTGGTAGCTCAGTCTTTAACTCCCAATCATGAAATGCAACTTGGCTGCGAGACGCAGGCTTTGTCGGTGGCTTCATATGTCTTTTGCATTCAAAAGAAGTGTTTGCCTTTGTGAACCAGTGATTAGATGCTTGTTCTGGTGATTTTGCTTTTTCTTCTTTGAGAGATGAATCAATCACATTTTTCACAATGTTGTTTATTTCTTCATTATCATCTTCAGAGTAAAAGACCATGCCTGGAACATTAACACGTGGGAATGGTCTTTTACGTTGAGCACCAGTAGACACTGTAGTGCCAGTGAGTCTATATTTTTCCTTAGTGTCAGACATATTTCTCTGGGTAGATCGTCTGCTTTTTCGGACGTTTGGCTTTACTGGCTCGTGGTGGAGATGAGTGAAGATCTCATCGAGAAGCTGAAGGAATACTATGGTTTGTTCAGATGCAATAAGTCTCTCATTATTAAGTTCAGTTTGTATATAACCTAGTATAGTGCTGACTGCCTCCTCTATATAACCGAGTAAAGAGGCCTGTGAAAAAATGGTTGACATTAAGTTTTGTATTTCTTCATTGGCAATTAAATTAGCTGTCTCATCTTCAGGAGTAGATTTCTTTTTGCTAGCTCTTTGAAGGATGGTATATGTTGGGACTGTCCTTTGTGGCTGGTAGGAACGTTTAGTTTCATCTTCAAGAGGATATTCATTTTGCTTGAGTGACGCAAGAGTCATCAGCTTTTCTAAAATGTCATGCACCATATCATCAGCAATATTACACATAGGTTCCAAAGTAGAAGGTAGTGAATTTTCTGAAGGTTTTCCATTTGATGATGTGAAATATTCCCCACTAGCTGTTAAACTTGATGCAATGTCTATGGACAAGTCTTCTTGTGAGAAAATCTCAACGCATTTTTTCTCAACTGCAGACTCTAGCCTGTCAAACACATTTTCCACAATGTCTGAAGCTAGTGAGCAGATATCGACACTGGAGACCACATCTTCCTTCTCAGGCTCGCCTTGGTCAACAAAAACTTCAGCAGTAACAGAAGAAATAGAGGGAATGGCCTGGGTTAAGTCAGACATTATTTCCTGGAAAATGCTCTCCAAAATCAATTTAGTTTCCCCTTTCAAGTGACACTTAAAGTTAACAAAAATATTCTTTAAATTCTTCAACTCATCCATGGCTTTGGCTTTCTTATCACAAAGCAATGGACTCACAAAGCCATCTGTTTCTGTGGTAGCATCCTTAGATTTCTTTGGGCCTCTTTGCAAAGATGCTAAAAGTTGACTATCGGATTTAGAACTTCGGAGTTTAGGGTATGAAAAGACCAAGCTGGACTTGTTATATTTGAGTTGGGAGGTTACAACTTCTCCTTTCCTGTGATAAGTTTTACCTGTAACTGTTCTTCCCACCTGGGCAGAAGGAGGTTTTAAATGTGGGGGTGGGGTTGGTTTCTTTGCTGGCACATTAACCGCAAATGTGCAGGTCTCTGCCTGAAATGTTTTAGTGGTCGCAGTTGTGTAGCTCCCATATGTAAACTCTTCACTGCAGGTGCTGCAAAAGCTTGAACTATCTGAAGAAAGGCTGGAGTCATCAGACACTGGGTATGTGTTATTCTGCAACCTCTCTTCGTACCTGGTGATGGCTGGGTATAATATACTAGTCACTGTAGCCACGACCCAGGTCATTATGTTCTGAATTATGCTATTTAGCTCATCAGAAGTTACCTGGAAAGGGGACAGAGACAAAAAAAAATTATCATGCAATACTATACTTCAGTAATATTTAATTTTTATATGAAACAATGCACAGCTGGAATAACATTATAGTTTATGAGGAAAACTGGGCAGAAAATCTATTTACAACTTTAGATTAATTTTGAATTGGTTTATTTTGTAGTACAGAGCAGGACTTTGTTGAAACAATTTTTACCCACATTCTCTCAGAAATTTTTATTTTTTTAATTTCCTAGTTCACTGCTGAGATAAATGAGCCCCCCTTTTTTGGGACAAGGCCACACTATGTAGTTCGGTCTGGCCTTGAACTCACAGTGATCCTCCTGCCTCAACTTTCTGAGTGCTGGGATTACAGGTGTAGCCACTAGGCCTGATCAATGACATTTTGGTAAAAAAAAAAAAAAAAAAAGACACAAACACCAATTTGCCTTCTAGGCTCATGTCAAGCAAACATCTCGCCAAAGAATGTGATATTCATATACTTGGTAATTTTTAAGGCACACCAAATTATTGCTAACAGATGTGTTGAACATACTATGTTTTCAGAGGCATCTATCTTTTTGGGGATGCAAAGATAGAAAATAAGCCAGCCTCATCCGTATTCTCCACTGCAGAGGTGAGTCTAACATCTGATTGTGAAGAATTACTTGACAGGCAAAATAAATGTAAATGTTTTATAGAGATTCACTGGCTTTACACCCAACAGGAATATTAGTGTAACCTGTTCTAGATCAGAAAGCTGAATAACATGAATAAATTAATTTAGATAGAAAATAACGAATACACGAGAACGGGGTCTCAAAGAACCAAGAGGGCTTAGCAGGGGTAGAGAAGCTAAAGTACTGCTCAGTTTGAACTGTAAACAAAGGACCCGAAACCAGATTTGTATGACCATCTTCTTAGTGGTCAGTGTGGCTGTGACAGATTTATACACGACCAAGAAGAGAAGAGAGTGCACACGTGGTGTTCCCGAACATTTACTCATTGACTTCACATATACTCTGAGCTTACACCATATTATTTATAATAAAGCAGTAGTCAGTTTTTAAATTACTATAATTCTTAAAGCACATATGCTTCAAGCACAAGTAAGGCAGCAAAGTTTGAAGGCTAGTGTGTAAGCATGACAGTATAAGGTTATGCAAATAAGGACAATCACAGCATATATTGCCTAAATTAGTCTGAAATTATTTGTGTTTCAGGATAAAAATCAAAGAAAATCTAACCCTTACAGAGCACTTTCTCTCCTTGTCCTTTTGAAAGTTTGGGGGTGGCACTGCAGGAAAGGCCATCTTACTTAGCTCTAATTCCCAAAATTCCTAAAAATGTTTTTCATTAATCTTACAAACAGTGGCTAGTGGCTTGCAAACATGTTGGGATAACAGTTTTCACTTTGTAGAATGCTTATCTTGCATTAATGTGCTGTAAATCAGTATTTCTCAGGATATCCAGGAATAAAATCTAAATTTTACCAAGAAGATAATGGCTCCAAATCAACTACCACACAGTTTTGGGTGCACTGAAATGAAGCAAATAGATAATATTTTTTAACTTGTCCCATTGTGATATTCAACTGAGAAATTTCCTTTGAATCAAAGCTTTGTATTCATTGAACATTTTATGCACTGAGTGGGTGTCCATGTGAAATAGGGTATCAAAAATATGTTGCCTCATAATGGTTATTTTCTTCCCCGACTGGTCTATCTAGACCCCTTCCTCAAGGGCCAACACCTGTCTGTTGATGGCACCTTTAGACCATAACGAAATCTAAGACTGAACTGAATATAAACATCAAAGAGGATAAAGGACAAAGAAAGAAGACAGGCAAGCATCAAGGAATGACTCCCAGTTGTCTGATGTACAACCGTTTTTGTACCATGGCAATATAAAAAGTATAATTAACATGCTGCTTTATCAGTGAATGTTATGATACATACTTTTGCCTGCACACAATTTTGCAGAAGATTCTGTTGTCTGTAAAGAAAATTTTATCATTTAGTTTTTAGTTAAGATGTAGGATTTATGAAAAAACTTTCCAATATCTTAGTCATCTCATCAGTTTATTTCTTTTACATCAGAAAACTTCTCTACAGAAAGTCAAGAGGGATGCCAACATTTTATTTCATCTCCTCCTTACCTATGGACCTGTGGATTCAGAAGTGTCCCTTATTGCTACCACTCAGAGGAGTGGAATTATAGCTGCTACATAAGCCACATCCCTACCTGGTAGTTATGCCTGCTTTGAGGGTCTCTGGAGGAGGAGATAGGTGGCCCCTTCTGTCTGCCAACAGGCCCCACAGAGAAGCGAAACTCGGGACAGCTTTCTGATGACACCTTCCTTACTCTTCAGATCCCACAGCCCCCCGTCCCTTGTCCACGTCTTCCAGTGGGAAAAGAACATGTGAATGATTATTCCACAATTATGGGTTGAAATTATGGGTTTCTAGTTTTATTCAGTACAATTTAGATGTCCCTCCTTTTGTCTCTTACTGTATTCCGTGTGTTCTAGAGAGATTTATTATCATGTGCTGATAGAATAAAACAGATCTCTGAACCGCAGAAAATCAAAGCACTCTGCCATAAAAATGATACAGAAACAAAATTGAATGTATGCCGGAAGCCATCAGTTCAAGTTCTGATTTGCTTTCGTGTATTTTGGCCTTTTGATTGTCTCCTTTCTTCTTTAAGAAAAATGCTTACTTTTTTACTTTTCCTAAGCCTGTATTTTTTTGGGGGTGGGGTGTCTTGGTTACTTTTTTCTCGTTGCTGGGACAAAACACCTGACGCCCAAAATTAAGGAAGGAAAGGTTTATTTTGCTTACAGTTTGTAGAGGGTTCAATCCATACTTGGCAGATTATAAGAGTGGCACGTGGCAGAGGGCAGCAGCTCCTGGCACAGAACACAGCTAGGCAACCACCACACCAGGGCTGAATGGGGGAGGAATGGCCCAAGCACTTCTTCCTCTCCCTTACATATGCAAACTATCCACTCCAGGGCGGGTGCAGCTCTCACACCCATATTCAAACTCTAATAGCCTGCCCCAGGGCCTCAGGAGGCTTTGGGGGGGACACACAGACAAAAACCATAACGGGGGGGATTAGTTTTCACCAAAGTTTAAAATTTAATTTTGAGAAAAGTTAGGCTGAATATTATATCTGAAATTTTAGCAGAAAACTAAAATCTCATTGGTTGCAGTTCAGAAAGTGAGAGATGGAAGGGGAGTCCACTGTAAGCTTCAGCAGAGGCAGGAGGGCTGCTTGAACTCAGTTGTTTGAGGCATGCCTAGGCCATGTAGCGAGACTGCGTTTTTTTTTTTTTTTTTTTTTTTTTTTTTGGTTTTTCTCCGGTACCAGGAACCGAACTCACGACCTTGCGCTTGCCAGGCAAGCGCTTTTGCCGCTGAGCTAAATCCCCAGCCCCGAGACTGCGTGTTTAAGAGGGACTTGGGGAGAGCAGTCTGCTCCTTAAACTAGACCCTTCTGCAGTATGGAGCCCGCAGCACGAAAGCACGTCTCTTTTCTTTGTACTCATTTATTTCTGATGCCTTAAATCAACCCAAATTCCCACATTTTCTCAGTTTACATATTCTAAAATCTGACCTTGAGTTTCATTTTTCTCATTTTCCATGTTATTCCATCGACACCAAATGGAGTCTTTGGATTCGCTGACACCTGTTCCCAACAGACTTTCTGCACCGAAAGCATGCAGACAGACACAGCAAAGAGCAAAGATCTATGAATGACATTAACCAACTATCTGAGAAAACTCCACTGAAGTTTAGTAAGTGCAACTGTTGGGTTCAGAGTACAGCTCTCAGTGTGCACAAGGTCTGGGGTCAGCTTGCCAGTAAGAAAACATCTAGTAATAGCCAGATAAAGCCAGCAAAAGCATCAGTGTAAAAACCTCTCTAAAATCAAGAGGTCCTGGTCAAAATGGTCAAAATCATAACCTCCAGAGTTCCAGAAGTGAACCAGGAACTCACAGTGTAACAATGAGAATTTTCCAGAAAGATGGTAAGAGTGGGAGCTGTGTGATGTTTTCACTTGCTCTACTTTTGTTGCCCCTCTCCAGTAAAGTGATGCCCTACAATCACAGCAATGTGATTCTGTACACCTTGGCATCTGCCAAACATCTGGTATTATTCTCTGTATATAGTGGATGCTCAACAAATGTTTATAAATACATTTCAGTTTTAATTCTTTCACATGTGTACCTACTTATCTCTAAGTCTAAATGAAGCCTGTGTTCTGGCCACTAATGGACTTCTAGAACTGGTTCCTAATTTCCTTCCTTCAGTTTTTCCTATGCATTGCTTCCTGAATTACTCTCTGTGTGTGCTAATTTGTTCATAGCATTGTTCTTCCAAAACACCTGAAGATTAACACAGAAAGTACAAGCTTCTAACAAGGCTAGACCAGGCAAAATGTCCACCTCCTTCAATCTGCCTATTACTAGATGTTTCCACCTCCCTCAAAAATAATAAAAAAATTGCTCATTATCCAAGTTTAATGTATTACGACTACAACCCGTATTTACTCCCAAAGCTATCACATTTGCTTTGCCTTTGGTCTGTTGGTCATGCATTTTCATTCCTAATTTATGAGTTTTTGTATATGCTTTTGGTATTAATATTTAAAAAGTCAAGAACTAAGCACAGAGTGATGGGGAACAAGAAAGAAGGTGAATGAAGGAACAAATGCGATGCTCCTACAGGGACGTCTGCTACGACCGGGGGCTAGGTCAGAACCGGAAGTGGGAGACGAGTATGGTGAGGAGAACGAGGCCAGACACTAGCGTGAGCTCTGCCATGTTTATCCGACCTGGAGTTCGGCTGGCCAGACGTGCAGTTCAAAGTGTCATATGCCTGTGAATTTGGCAGGCGCTGTGAAGAAAATTCAACTCATACAAATGCTTTTCATTTGAACTGAGCTTAGGTTTTTAATGAGATTATTTGCTCTGAAAGACTGAAGTGATGCTGTAGTTCTGGATTTTTGGACGGGGAAAATGAGAATGAAAAAACTTCACTATATGAGCCTCCTTTGGCTCTTTCTTTTTTTTTAAAAAGCAAGTATTTATATTTCCAGTAACTCAAATGATACTTATCCAATAAATAAAGTACCTACAGGAGGCTGTGATTCTTTCTCCTTGCTATTTCATTTTGAATTGTACTCCATTTCTTTCCTTCTGCGTCTATTACCACGCTTCGTGTTCTGGGAAAACTCAGTAAATCACATAAACCGATTCCCAGTAGTCTGGAAGTTACAATTCTTCCAGCCAAAAGCTTGGTCTAAATACGGCAGTACAATTTGCCACCACAAATTTTTAATTTTTCCTAGACATTTAAAAAGGAATCTGGACTTTGTAGTCTGTCTTGGACTTCACTTGGCTTTTAACTTTTTTTTAAGGGTGATAGAACCTGTCTTAAAACTGGTCATTTTGCTCTCTCTTCTCATGTTAAGAAAAATAAATATAAACATCTTTCAGATAAATGGTCACCAAAGTTTAAGGAATGAAAAGTACTTGGGTTAAAAAATATCTCTTCCAGGAGTCTAAAACTTGCATCATTGGAGATTATTATTTTGGCTTATGCTGTGCACACCTTCTTGGAGGGAGATTATGGATTAAACCATCAACACTGTATGCTAAACTATTTTACTATCCTTGAGAAGCCAATAATTGCAACAGGCACAAGGAATGGCAAATGGTTTTAAGTTCAGGTGATGGGAAAGTATATGGGGAGAGGGCGTGAAGATCCTGAGCTAGGGCAAAGTGAGGAGAAGGAAACAAAGAGGAGGAAGACAAAATAAAATTTAAGCATTAACTGTTCCTTTCAGTAAACCAGTAGACATCAGCAGTACAATTATCCCAGCAATCCTCGTATATTTGCATGCTTATATCTGGTAATTTGAACAACTAATTTGAAGACAATCATATGCAACATAACAACCATTGTTGAATTCCTACCATCTTATTTAGTGAAGCTCTGTATTGTTTCTAATGTTTTATTATTATTATTATTTGTTCCTTCTGTTTGATCAACTGTTTGATCCACACATCTGGTAATCTGAGTAACTTCATTGGAGATAACAATATGTCATACAACAACCACCGTTAATTTCTTGTCATCTTGTTTTGAAATCCTGTATCATTTTTATTGTTTTTGTGTTGTTTGATTTTGTTGTTGTTGTTGTTGTTATTCATTGTCTTTTTCTCTTTAAAATAAAGAAAGGAAAAAAAGGGAGGAAGACAGTTGCTGACTTTAGCTATAGATTGAACTCAGTCCAGTTTTCCAAGTGAAATTCCACTAATTCCAAGTGGAACTACAAGATTCCCTATAACCACGTGCTTGTGAACAGCACTTGTATGCAATTATAAAAATACTAACTCATGATTAAACATAAATTTTAAGACACTTACATATTTGAGACAATAGGAGAAGAAAAAGCTCCTGGGGCTGTAGCGTGAGTTTGAGGTCCTATGTAAGATGAAAAGAAAATTTAAATTGATATATATCCTTGGTTTACCAATTAAGTCGTTTAATTGGCAGTTCGTTTCTCCTGCTGAAGAGTAACAACATCCTCCAGTAGATCTTTATTTTCTGTTTTGACTGTCTTGTCTATAAGCTTTTAGGATTTCCCCAGAGCCAAATCCAAAGTGCTTAGGTAGGCAAAAAATATACAGTAAGGTCTGACCTCCTCATCTACCTGTACAGCATCTCTCTGGTAGTCTTTCATGTGTATTGTGTGGTCCACAGACGCAGAGTTACTTGTACTCTACTTAATGAATCATCCTTTCTACACTCTGGGCTATTCCTTTTGCCACTTCCCTTGGCACACTCGGTGTTCTCTAAGATTTTAGTTTCCACTAAGCTTGTGTTAACTCTTCTTGAAAGCTATTCTTTAAAACTATCTACATGAATAAATATCTTTATGCTTATAAAACTCATTTTACCATAATTATGTGTTTAACCTTATATATCTCCAATGATGATATAATTTCAACACTGTATTTTCAACACACAAGGTGGTAACTACTGTTCAACATTTATTTGTTGAATATATATGGCTCATATGTTTCTTTAACATTTAGTCTTTGATTCGTCTAGCATCTCTTGCTACCGAAATATTATCTAACTTGCTTTGCATATAATATAATAAAACTGTAAATGATTGTGGTAAATCTTCCAGATACAGATGATATAGGAAGTTTTTATGTAGAACATCTCTATTTTGGAATGAATTTGCATGGATTTATACATGTCAGTGATATAAACACATAAGTCAATGATATAAACACATAAGTAAATGAAAATCTTAAGCAAATAAAATGTTCTGGAAGTAGTTATGTTGGGTTAGAAATTAGAGGCATTTTAAAGTCAAGTTAACTGATAGTTCATTTCTCTCAAAGATTGTATCACCAATAAATATGGATAATGGATATAAAAGTCTTATGAACTCTTTTGAACCTTTTGTGTGTGTGTATGTTTTGGGTGTGTTTAGGTTTGGAGATGAAGTAACTGAGATTCTGGAGGCAGAGACTTGAGAATCTAAGTGTGGAGCCAAAGCTATTCTAAAAACACACCAATAAAACTTTTGTGTACTCCTACAAAACAAGGAGGAGAGGCTGTCATTTGCAACCAAATGAATTAACCTATAGGACACTGTGGCAAGTGAAAGCAGCTGTGCAGAAAGACAAATATTGCATGACCTCACTTATGAATGGAATGTATAAATGTCGAACTCAAAACATGAGAGAAAGGAATGAGGTTGTCAGGCGAAAGGAGGAGAAGAATATGGAGAGATGTTGATAAAGTGGATGCAGTTTCATTTACGCAATTAGTAAGTGCTCAAGAGCATGTGTACAATTATATACTTGAAAGTTGTCAAGATAGACCTTAAGTGTGTGAACACACACACAAACACACACACTCATGGAGTATAACTGTGTGAAGTGGTAGATAAGGTAACTGGCTTGAATATTTTACAATATACACATATATGAAGTTATAAAATCAGTATATATTTTAATTGTGCACTCAAAGTGTTTGGGGGTGGGAGGTACAGTGTAGCAGAATACAATAAGAATATGGGTACAAAACTTTAACAATGTTTTCTCAATTATGGTTGTCAACATTGTTATTGACTCAATAAAAATAGCAGAAGGTAAGAAAATAAATTATGTCTCATCATCCTTCATATCTCCAGTTTGATCTTTTTGGCAGACTTCCCTGATAGCACTAGATGATCTTCCTGGGCCTTCTGACTTTTACACACACTTTCTTTATTGTACTTATAATAGGGGGTTGTAGGTTTTTGCCATGACTATTTCCCTACTATACCATAATAACCCTGTGTAAAAATGAAGCCTTTCTCTCTTTTGTATCCAAGGTCTATCACTAGAAATAGTATGGATCAGGAGAAAAACAACTATTGGGTGAAAGAGTGAGTTAATAGATTTCACGATTTACTTAATAATTATTTCCGATGTTTACCTAGTTCATCATGGTGGCTTGGTCTCGTCTTGAATGGCTTTCCATCTATCTCCTTCTACATACACAAAAAACAGATCCTGAAAGAATTGTCTTGCCGGACTTTGAACATCAATTATCATTTCTATACTTTAAATAAAAAAAGTGAGATTTTGAAATTTCTCTTAAATGTCAGTTTATAAGAAATATGCACATTTTCATTATGTTTATAGTGTATCTGTTATTTCAAAAATTCACAGTTGTGTCAAAGGGTATCCCCAAGACCATCTACACATCTGATGATTTGTTAAGATGTCTGCACTCAGCATATACTTGTACACACATCTGAAGACATATTATAATAAAAGGAAACAATAAGGTAAGTAGAGGGGAAAGACAACAGGCTGAGTCTGGAGAAATCCACACACAGACTTTATGCTCTTTTGCTCTTTCCTGTGAGAAGACACACTTTGGCATGCAGTCTGCTTTTACCAGTAAAAATAGAGTAGCACCATTGTTGTGTTTCACCCACAGAAAATCTTTAAGAAGCTCAGCACTTAATATTTCTCTGAAGCTGATCATGTAGATGCCCTCTGCTTTAGTGTATTTGAAAACTCCAGACCCACTGAAGGAAAGTAGGTGTTCAGCAAGAATCAAACTGCGCAGTTTAGTCACAGTGAACCACTTTCCTAGCAAGGGAAAGTAAAACTATTTGCCAGTCACATTCTTAGACACCAGCCCAAGGGCACACTCATAAGAAGGCTCTTCGAAAGACAGCAGTCTTAAGGCTGCCATGTTGTCCCTTTTCTGCACAATAGTATGAGCTGGGAACCTGGAAAAACTATCTGAGGAACACAGATTAGCAAAGAAGCTAAGAAACTCAATGGGAAGGAGAATAGATTTACTTTTAGTTTTAAAGAACGCTACCATCTGAAGAAGAGTTGAAGTAGAGCTTCAAGGCAGAGAACATGTCCTTTTAATGCAAGACCATGTCTTTCTGTTCTCTTCTTGAAACTCAAACCATCTTGGGAAGCAAATCCAGCATAGTAATTTTTTTTTAAATTTTCTAGACCTCAGAGCTGAGAATGGGCCACTAGAAATACATTTTCTGACAATGGCAGGTTGTGTGCAATGTCAGAAAATATGTTTTAATATTTATAATAAAAAATCACTTTGTTTCTCATAATAAACTAGATATCTGTCAATATCTGGCCCTCACTTGAGATTAAAATGGATGACAAGTTAATAGCACACGCATTACCCAGAAGAAGTGCATAGTAAAGTTTAGACATAGTTTTTAATGGGCTTTTTCTTTTTTGTAAAATTAAAGACACAGCCTTTGAAATGTGTTGGGCAAGATGATAATTTCAATTGCCAATGTTCTTAAGAAACTTTTCTTTTAGAAACTCTTTAATGTGGCTTTTAACATGACAGAGTGTCCTATGCCCAGGAAACAGCTGTAAAATGTTTATTTATAACCAAATTATTATACAGAAGCATACTATAATAACCATACTACCTCTTAGGAGTTCTGCATAATTTAATCTCTCAGTTATTATGCAATATGGGACAAAGAAGATGATGTCACTTTCGATGGCAAATAATTTGTTTATTGAAATCTTTATCAAAACGTGTTAATTCCTCAGCACAGTGAACCGGGGAACATTAAGCTACAAATGGAACCAAGAGTGTGGATTTGATTCCTATATTAATGACTGAACAACTTACAGGAAACATCTATTACCTATGCAAAGGCTGGGACCAAAGTCTATGATAGTAACTTTCCCATAGCAGGTATGTGACCAGTGGTCAGAAAGTACTAAATCAGTACTAGACCTAGTTGATTCCAACATGGCATATTTGATTTCCCTGATAGCTACAAAAACATACTATAAACTACCCTCTTATGGCTTACATTTTGGCAGATTGTCCTAAAGTTATTACATTTTTGTTATGTAATAACTAATTTCAAAGAATAAAAATGTTCATTTACATAACAATGATGAACATAAGACCATCTTTCATTTATACTGCTTGTGTTTGGAGCAAAGCAAATACTATATACCTCTTCTTTTGCATCCAAAAATGAACGTGAAAGTCTGGGATTATTTTTTGCAAGTGAAGGTTGAGCTGAAATAATTGAACCTCGAGTTGGTACGTTTAAACCTCCTAGAGAAAAAAGAGACATCTTTAACTACTGCTGGAACAAAGCTAAAAGTCAATTTATAGCATTGCTCTAACATTCTCCCTGTTGGGTGCCACAGTGACTAGAATTCCTACAACCAAGAACTTATTTATTCAGAGAACAACATGACTTTTCTGATGCTCAACCCATGCAAAAAATGTCAACGGTTCACCACTGCCTTCAAAGACAAGTTGTAAACTCTGAACTTCTGACCCTAATTTATGTATTACAATAGCTTAATCTTAAGAAACTAACACCATAGTCCATTGTTAAAATTAACTTTGCATTTCATTCAGTAGGCAGTGGGGGACAGCTTGCAACTTGTGTCAGAGGAAAAATAAAGCAGTATTTTGGGTAAATTGTTTTCACAGTAAAGTGTGTGGTAGATTACAGAGAAAGAAGTGATTGGAGGAAGGCTACTGCACTAGAGAAGAAAAAATTACTTCTTATCCACAGACACTGGGTATGCATGAAAGTATTTTTTAGTGACTTATAGAATTGTAATAACTCACTAAATCTTAGACAAAGCATATTTTAAGGAACCATGGGAGTGGGACATATTGCTGTCTGGAAATAGATGGTAGTGGGGCTTAGGGATACTCCTGAGGACAATTTCCTGTATTCTAGCCTCTCCAACCACAGCGTGTAAAATATTCTACTTATTATTCTACTTACTAAAATATTCTACTACAAACAGCCACCAGGGCACTGTGCCTTTACTACATTTTGCAAATTACCAAAGCTGTATTCCTCAGCAATAACTTAGATGTATGGTCTAATTCCAAGAGCTATACTCAAATAATTTTATAATACCCTTTATCTTTCAAAATAAGCATACCTTTAATAATCAAGTAAAACAAGTTTAAAAACTAAAAGATTAACCCATAATAATGTGTTTAATAGCTAAGGAATTATGAATATCATCCATTTTCTTACCTTTCTCATCACAAGTGCTTGACCTTTTAGTTGTGACTCCATCTTTCTAAATGATACAACAGAAAGGAGAAAAAGCATGCGTGGGTAACTATATTTCTGAAAAAGGTTTTGCCTTGTATCAGTCAAGCAAATGAATCCAGACTTTTCCTACTCTTTATGCCTCAAAATCCTGATAAGTGTTGTCAGGGCAAATATGTATCCTTGTCCTCCAAGATACATTATATGCAATCCAGAATTTATTTTAAAATGAAGCTCAATAGGTAGCAATGCACACATTTACCCCTTTTCTAATATGCTATGTTTTATTTAAATGAATATGAATGGATGGCCCTAAAAAGTCATTCAAGTTGTCTTAGAGAAATCCAACTCCAACTTTATATGCCTTAAGAATCCAGTCTAATGTTCCCGGAAAACATGGCTTGAATTAAACTACAATTCATCATTTCAGACTTATTTTACTGTAATAACATTTTCACATGTCTGTTACTACCCTGGAGAATAAATCCCTGAGTAGACTGATGGTATCATTCAGGTTGCATTCTCTGTGCACGAATTTCCTTATGTCCACCTTTCTGGTTTAGCTCTGTGCCTGTTAAGAGCATTTTAATAAATTCTAGCTATGAGTATCATTACTGTTGCAAAACTCTTTTTTGGAGTAATTACTACTAAGTTATGTAGTGTATTTTGAACATAGCTAACTTTTTACTTTCCTTGCTGGGGAACAGGATCTGTTCTTGTGAATAGAACCTTTCAAATAGGTACCAAGACCAAAGGAGGCAGCTCTTACGGAAGAGGGAGAGGGAGGAGAGGGGGGAGAGGGAGAGGGAGACGAAGAGAGGGAGAGGAAGAGAGAGGGAGAGGGAGAGGGAGAAAAGAGAACTCAATAATCACTGTGCAAAATTTTGAAACATAAATCTTTACCTTTTGTTCTGTAGCATTATCTTGTACAACAACAGGCTGAGCAATAATGGAAGTTAACTTTTTGGTAACATTCTTTGAACTACTTTGATGCTGAAGCATAGTATTTGCATCTTGTTCTAAAAGGAAATGAAAGCAGAATCCTGTCATGTTTAAAACAACTGTTGCGGTGCAATTTTCCTCATTTAAATTATTTCATCAATTTTGAAATATGTAAAAAAACCTGTGAAGAGATCAGTGCAAACAAGGTAACATTTCAATTATCCATAAGCCTTTTTCATCCCCCTTTGTAAGTCATCCACCTCTCTATTACATCCCGTGAGAATGCTTGTGTGCACCTCTCACTCAAGATAAGTTTGCACTTTGTAGAATTTTATATGAATGGAACCAGATAGTATACACTATTCTTCTCTGCCTTCTTTCAGTCATCATACTGCTACTTCAGTAGTTTTCCTGTTAAATGCATGAATATGTTACTTTTTAAAATCTACTCATCAGTGAGTAGGACCTTTCAATGAGTCAAAAAAAATATGCACATAAATCAGCAGAAGAGCCTACAGGTAATCACTAAAAGGAATAATAAAGGATATAATTAAAATCTGTGGCAAATAATGATAATTTCACTTCTTCCTTTCCTAGCTTGATTCCTTTTATTTCTCCCACTTAATTGCTTTGGGTAATGCTTCCAGAACTATGCTGAATAGGAGTGGTGACAGTGGACATCCCTGCCTTGTTCCTGGTTTTAAAGTGAAAGTTTTTTGTTTTTGACTATTTAGTATGATGTTGATTGTTGGTTTTTCATAGATGGCTTTGATCAGATTGAGGTAAAGACCATCTATTCCTATATTCAGTAGTTTTTCTCATGAATGCATGTTGGACTTTGTTGAAGGATTTTTCTGCATCTATTGAGATAATCATGTGGTTTTTGTCTTTGGCTCTATTGACATGGTGTATAATATTTATTGATTTGTGGATATTGAACCATCCCTGCATTCCTGGAATGAGTCCAACTTGGTCATGGTGTATTATTTTCTTGATGATTTGCTGCATTCCATTTACTAGTATTTTATTGAGTATCTCTGTATCTATGTTCATTAGGGAGAATGATCTGTAGTTCTCTTCCTTGCTTAGGCCTTTCTCTGGTTCTGGTATCAGTGTAGCACTTGCCTCGACAAATGAGTTAGGGAGAATTGCTTCCTTTTCAATTTCATTGAAGAATTTGAGCATCTTTATATAATGGAATATTACTCAGCTATAAAGAAAGATAAACTCGAGGCTTTTACAGATAAATGGTCACAACTGGAGACCATACTCATAAGTGAAATAAATCAGATCTGCATGTGAAAGCAACATTTTGCCTCACTAGTGTACGAACTTGAAAGAGTGAATAAAAATTAGGAGGTATGATAGACATTGTGAAATGAAACGATACTGCTCAAAAGTAAAAGGCAACTGGGATGAGGAAAAAGAGAAAAGAAAGAAGGGGAAAACTATGTATACATGTCTATACAGGATAGTTAACATAGTTGTACTACTGCTTATATCACTTTATTGAAAGGAAGAGTTAATGATTCATTATTTGGTCAGTCTTTCATAGCTATATTTGCTTTCCTGAGAAACCACTTTGAAGTTACCAATATGTAATACAGCAGCCAATGTTAATTTCCTGTCACCTCATCTGTATTTCAGTGTTACTTGTATTGTTCTTGTGCTATTTTGTAAATGGATGTCTGTTTGTTAATGTTTTCATTTTTTATTTTTAAACTAAAAAATATATAATTACTTATATTAAAAAAATAAAATCTGTGGCAATAAATTTGAAAACAGATGTGCATGATGCAAATTCTTTGAAGAACTCAAACTACCAAATCTTATTCATGAGTAGATAATTTGAAAAATCACATTTCTGTTAGAGAAATTCAATATGTCATTGTAAGCCTTTGCACAGAAAGGCTCCAGCCTCAAAGGACTTCATTCATTGTATCAAATATCTAAGGAAGAAATTCCATTAATTCTACACAAACTCTTTCAGAAAATTGAGGAAGTGTGAATAGTTCCCAGCTCATACTGATCCACAATATCATTTGCCTAATGTTACAAGAAAACCAAACCTCATGCAACTTTCCCATGAGGAAAAAGGCATTATCAACAAAAAATCAAATATAACAATAAAGATAATGCATGAGGAAGAAGTGGAGTTTATCCCACCATATTAGCATTAGTTTACCATTCAAAATCAACGTGCTTTACCAAATTACATGCAAAATAAAAAAATTTTCATGTGATTATTTTCAAGATACAGATTTTTTTTTTTTTTTTTTGTTTTTCTCCGGTACCGGGAACTGAACTCACGACCTTGCGCTTGCCAGGCAGGCGCTTTTGCCGCTGAGCTAAATCCCCAGCCCCTCAAGATACAGATTAAACAACAAAGAAGTTCAATATTCATTTTAAAACCTCTAAATGAATTAGGAATAGAAGGAGTCAGATATCCATTAAAGGCTATCTTTAAGTACTTATAGCCAATACTCTCACTAATATTAAAGAATTTTTCTAAAGTTTTAGAACAGTACTAGGATTCAACCAACCACAATTTCTGTTGATCATTTTACTAGGAGACCTAGGTAGACAGAAAAGAGTATTAAAATTAATCCTAAGCAAAACCCCATGGGCTATTTGACAGAAATTGAAATGTTTCTAAACTCTTTTTAGGAAATTAAAAGGCCCTAAAATAATCAAGTCATCCTAGAAAAACAACCAACACTGGATATGTCAAGCTGCTAGATTTTAAGACTTATTATGAAGCTATCATAATAAAAATGCTGTAAGAATGCAGAAGAATAAATACAGCAGAAAATAATGTTTAGAAATAAACCTACTTATCTATGATCATTTTATTTCTTTTAATTTGCCAACACACTTCATGGTGTTGAACCAAGTGTATGTATACTAGAGAGGCTTGGCTCACCCTGTCTTTCCAGATAGCAAGGAAACTATCAAAGATCACTAGAGTGATATCCGAAAGGACTCTGGAGTTATCTGTATGAGAAACCTACTTGGGAGAGCTGGCACAAGTTCAACATTAACAAGAACAGTAACCGTGCTATAGCACTGTAAATTGTCATGAATTCACAAATTTAAATAACTTGATGTATTGCAACACATTGAATTTGTTTAAAAGTGTGAATTCCTAATAACACTAAATAAAATAGCACATTATACAGAAAGCTGCAGGAACAGTTCATTTTTGTGAAAACTGATGCATGATAGTAAAATATTTAGCACTTAGTCTGCTTTTCCAAAACATTCTCTACCACAGTATAAGAGCAAACCACAGCTGCAGGGAGAGGGGTTCCTTTCCTAAAAGAATTCTAGCTAATCAGTTAAGAGGAAATAATAGAATGAAATATTGCAAATTTGTTGTCCCTAAACTTTCTTATGGGTTTAGGCCTTGAATATAAGTGGCTGCTAAAATTACAGAGAAAGCCAGGTATAATGTGCTTCTCAGCAAAAAGGCCTCATGCCCCTAAGATTCAGTCTGGCTAAGAACATTCAACATGAAGACCTATGACTCTAACTGGTACTTTATAGAAAATAGAAAGTAATACACAGAAAGAAATTATCCAAGTGAGACCAACAAAAGGGCAAGTGTGAAGAACTCAGCAGGATAATCAACTCAATCGTCTACAAACAAACCATAGCCAAAAAAAAGAAAAGAAGAATAAAGAGGCAGAAAGAACAACCATGCATGGGAGAACTTACAGATTAAAGATACTAAAAAAAATTAATCCATGAATAAACTGATCAATGTGTGTTCAAATATCAAAATATTCAGTCATGTATTTACTACTGAAATTTCAAGTACTGTACATATTTGGTGATATTAAGGAATTGTTAATTATTAATTTGTGTAAGATGATAATGGTATTGTTGTTATATGTTTTTCAAATAATCCTTACCTTTTATAGTTACATATTAACAGTTACATATGTAACATTTTATAGTGACATAATGGATGAGATGGTATTATATGTGTGATGAACTTCAAAACAATATGACATCAGGTGGAAGTTGAAATTATAGACCAAAGACAATTGTGCATGAGTTAAAACTGGACTAAAAACACAGAAAGTTTTAGTAGGCTTTTCTGGCTTTTTTGTTTGTTTTTGTTTTTGTTTATATTTGAATTATTTGATAACAAAAGCATAAAATAGTGCTGAAACTCTGGAAATATTTACCACAAATGAAAGATGAAAATCTTTATCACATGGAAAAGAGCTCATCAAAATTAACCTCAAATACAATGTAGCAAATGTCTAATTTATGAAGAAAAACATTACATGTTATTGCATTGAATTAAGAACTTCTATACACCCAAAGATAGGCTAGAAAGAAATTATAACTGATAAGATGAAATTTTCTGTATCATATATACACATGTAATAGGCTAGTGTCTAATGTGATTAAAAAGTCTTCCAAGTCCGTCAGAAAATCAACCTAAGAAGAAACTGCCCAAGATGTAAGAAATGGTAATTTCTACGAAGAGTACACATAATTCAGAATCCCTAAGAAGCATTAGCCGTGTTTATAAAGTAATCTATGCATATGGGAATGTTCAGTGAATCAAAACACCCAATTCTTCCACCTACAGAAAAGCTGGATGTAGACACTGTAGTAAATGCACACAGTGGTACATGACAAACAGTGAAATGCACTGAAATTTCAAGCACTACAGGAATATTATGTCTGGAACAGTGCTGAGTGTAAAAAGCAAGTCAGAGGACATTACAAGAGCACATCAATCTTAAAATATTTTAGTAATGGCATTTACATGCATTGGTATATGTATTGATATAATGATTAAAGGACATACATTTTAAAAATATTTATGGTAATCACCAGAATAGTAGTTCCCTCTGCTGGTGAGGAAGTTGGCTTCTGGCAAATTTTCTAAAAGTTACCAACCTACAGTTTAAAGATTCACAGTGAAACTTAGTGGAGGGGAGACAGAAACAACGAGGTCCATGCCCAGACGTAGAAGAAACTGCTGAAAATTAACCGCAGCCCTAAAACTGAAAATAGCCAGAGAAATGGCCCTTTTCTTATTGAGAAAAGCACAGTGAAAGTATTGCAGCAACATCATCAGAATCATGAAGAACAGAATGAAGTAAAATAACATTTATAAAGACCTAAAAACAAAGAACTATGAATTTCTAAGTAGATCATTGAAAAGCAAAGACATTCTCAAGAGAAAGAATATTAAGATGATTCTGTGCTAGAAAGCCTTTTCTTTTCTTTTCTTTTCTTTTTTTTGTTTTTGTTTTTTTTTCCGGTACCAGGAATCGAACTTTCGACCTTGCACTCGCCAGGCAGGTGCTGTGCCACTGAGCTAAATCCCCAGCCCCATAGAAAGCCTTTTCTAAAAGAAATGTCAATGGTGGTTCTAAAGACTAAAAGAAAAAAAATAACAAAACAATACCTGAATCCCAGGAATTGAGAAGAAACTAAAATGGTAATTATTGTAGCAAATATAACAAACTGTCCTTCACCTATTATTTAAATATATATTTGATGATCTGAAATAGAATGAATTACCTTGTCTGATTAGAGGTTTGATGCATATGGATGTAATACATAAAAATATTATAACGCAAATGGGAAATGAATAACAGGAAATACATAGCAGTAAGGTTACTATATTCTGCTTAAAATAGTGAAGAGTTTACTCATAGTTGATTTTTTTTTTTTTCCGTTACCGGGAATTGAACTCATGACCTCACACTTGCTAGACAGAAGCCGTGCCGCTGACCTAAATCCCCAGCCCTCATAGTTGATTCTTTAGAACTAATTAATAGTGTACTCTAGAAAAATTACTATTAAAAGCTGCACAGAGAGGAAATACTGTAACGGGCTTTTTGTCTATGTTGTTATTGTTATATTTGTATTCTCTTTAAAATAAAAACAGGGGCTGGGGATTTAGCTCAGCGGCAAAAGTGCCTGCTTGGCATGTCCAAGGTCGTGAGTTTGGTTCCCGGTACCGGAGAAAAACCAAAAAACAAAACAAACAAACAAAAAAAACCAAAAATAAAAACAATTACAATAGTATAAAAAAATGAAGTATTCAGAAACACATCGGTACTTCCTTTGAAAGAGTGCTGAGTACAAATATATATATATATACATATATATATATACATATATATTTTTTGTGTGTGTTGGGCATCAAACTCAGGCAGGCACTGTGCTGCTGTACTATCTCCTGTGTGCAGAATGCTATAAAACATAAAAAAAAATCAAGGATGGCCTAATAAAAAGGTATTCCATGTTTACAACTAGAAGAGTTTGTATAATAAAGATGCCATTTCTCCTTTAACTGATTTATACAAGTATATTTAATGTACTTCACTTAAAAATCATTACATGCTTTTTATAGTAGTAGTCCTAATTATAAAATCTGTGTAGAAAGACAAATGAGTTAAAATAGCTAAAGCGATTTTGAAGCAGATATTGATGTAAATATACTGCTTGTTACAGATATAGACAGATGCCTTCCTCAGATAAAGATCAACATAGTTTCATAGTTTTAGCTGGGACATGTCTCCACACTGTGCTTAATTAAATGTAGAAGTCTGGTCTCTGAACAACTGTCACACTGGTTCAGGAGCCTGGTGAGGCTAAAATAGCATTTTCTGTCTGCTGTCACTGCCTCAGATAGCGCCGAGCTCTCTGATAGCACTATGTTCAGAGCGGGGTGCATTAAACACTGTGTTTTTAGTGAAGGACTTTGGTAGAGATAATGCTGCTTTAGAAACCAGGGATTTATTCTTAATCACACACATTCCCAGTGGGACTGGTGTGGTCATAATTGTGTATTTTAATAATTCTTCCATGTTTGGTGAAAAAAATAATTGGAGTTGGCGACCATAAATCTTAAGAGTTGAATTAAGTATTTACTCATATTTGGTTATGAAGAATGAATCAAAAGTGTAGTCTAGAAAACTTACTGTTGAAAACTCTCCACAGAGAGGAAATATAGTAATAGGCAACTGCAGAGCAAATTGAAAAAATTACAGTAGTATCAAAAGTGATCCTGAATGTGGAAGGGTGCTTGAAGGTTAAACGAAGCCCATCTCTTTCCAGAGCGCTAAATTTGGATGAAGTAAAGCACATTGTATATTAAGAAAGGAAAGAATTCGTACTTTATTTTCTTTAAACCTTAACCAATAAGGACAAGGTTACTTATGTTGACACACGGATTTTAAATTTTAAATTTAATAATGGGAGAAAAGTCACATTGATTTTTAATACTCATTTTATGGTGTATTATTCAGAGATACTTTTGCTGTTATGTGACTCACTGTCTAATATTTCTAATGGAAATGTCAAATGACATAAGGTAAGAAATGTAACAAGTGGCCTGGCACGGTGGCACATGCCAGTAATGCCAGCACTCTGTAGGCTGAGGCAAGAAGATTGCCACAGGTTCAAGGCCAGCCTGGGTTACATAGTGAGTTCAAAGCTATGCTGAATGACATAGTGAGACCCTATTTCAAAAAAAAAAAAAGTAACAAGCAGATTTCAGTAAGCGTCACAGTGGTTTTAAAGTTAGTGCAGTTAATTTCTGAACCACTTAAAGAGATTTTTAAAAATCATTTTAAGCATTAAAAATATTTTACAATTAGGTATTCTATAGTGAACATATATTTTTAATAAACCCTTCATCTAATTTTTCTGACACTGGAGTGGCAAATTCAAACAGCTGCTCAGCACTCTAAGTCAGCCATTTCACAAAGTGAGGAGAGAATTTGTGTGGTGTAAGAAGACCATCACCTCTCAGTCTTTCCCCAAATTTATATTCTTATTACCTACTAGTCTTGTCACATTGTACAATTACCTTTGTGCACTTTGTGGTCATCGGCAGAATACAGTAGTTTTATATCATCTTGATTCTTCTTTTTCTTCTTTGCAGAAACTTAAAGAAATGAAATAAAACATTTACATTCTCATTAATGCTCAGAAGGAGGTGATCCATTTCCTGACCTGCATGTGAAATTGCGGGAGACACAGTAGACGGAGAGATACGAAATGAGGGCAAGGATCCACTCCTCAAGTATTATTCCTTCAGGTTAAAAGATACACGGGGAAGGGCAGAATTTACCTCTGCAAAAAGGGCAAAGGTGCACTGCAGTGTGTGGTGACAGACTGTGGACAGTATTATTCCAGCATCGTGACGGCTGAACATCCACCAGAGCAGGGTGACTACTGCCGTTCTTGGATTAGCATTAAAGCATGGCATAAGCAGATACATATAATAATACAGCACAGGATAATAAAGATGGTTAACATATAGCTCCCTCCTTGGGATAGAGGAAATTACAGTATCTTTGTGTGACTACCTAGGTAGGTAGCATCCTCACTGCATGTATGCTCAGTGGGTTTTTATTAGAGGCATAAAATGTGAGAGTTATATGCATGTCCTCCTTGACCAGGGCAGCAGATTCTTATGATCTACCTTTGTCCTCTGCACCTCTACAACTTTCCTACTTGGTGGAAGACGCCATTATGAGAGTGGTGTAATTAAATTTCATTTGGGAAATAGTTATCTTTACTCATATTAATTCAAGAATATACATTTTTAAATGTATTACTACTTCTTCAAAAGGCTTGCGGTGACAAATGTTTCAGATAGCTACTGGACATTCTTTTCCTGTTACATGAGAATCTTGATGAAGATGTTGGGATATGTGTAGTAACTAAACTGATTTCTTCTCTGAAGCATAAGAATGCTATGTTTATCTCAAAGAAATAAACAAATTGAATTAATCCACTTAGAGAACATATATCTAGTGTGTATGTATACACAATTTATGCATACATGTATATAGTGTGTATATATTACTTCTATATGTGTACATGTTGTATTATCAGTGCATAACTCTAAATGGTGTAATTTAAGACAGTAGGAAGTATGTAATGGTACAGATTACTAAAGAGACTCAAAGAAGAGGGCTTTTCCATAAGAGCTATCTAGACAGATTTAATGGAGCAAGATTTAACCAACAGTAGGATTTTGACAGGTGGAGACCAGGAGCAGATCACTCTAGGCTGAGAACACAGGGAGAAGTGGAGAAGTGGGCAGTGTCCACTATGCTGTGGGAATGGTCAGTGGTCTCCTCTGACGGAACAATGATGTGAATGAAATACTCCCTATATGCTAAAACACTGGGATTCTCTATTATGGTTGTTTGGGGTATTACCTTTGTTTTAGATGATAAAATGTTCTCTGATTGGTTAACTCATTTCCCTAAGCCATTTGTGTAGCCATAAAATGGCAAAGCAGGAGTTGGACTTCAGCAATACAGGTTCAGAGCCTGCTGGGGACACTATCAGATCTTCAGTGATATAGTGTGAATAAAAATTGAAAAGCTGGGTTGGGACTTCACTCTGTATGATGATGTATGCTTGCCTGGTCATGTAGCAGGTATCAGGTTTAGGGCCGGGAAAAGAGATCATCTCAGCAGTTTTGAATAGTGCTCTGTGTACTACAAAGTAGATTTGAAGGAGATAAAAAATAAAAGCAAACTGAGACTGGTGAGTAATTTACAGGGGTGACTTAGGGCGGCTGTGACGAAGAAGTATGATTTCTGGGAGGAAAGATCAGTAATCATTATTTTCCAATACTATAAAGTCATAAATGGTTAAAAACAGTGGACTTTCTTAAGTTTTGGGCATCCAATTTTAACTAATATTGAGATAAAAAACTCATTATGCTTTTATAGTGATAGAAATAAAATGAACATGTTCTTTGTACTTCCCAATAGTAGCAAACATGTACTGATAAAAAAAGAAGAAGAAAAGGAAGAAAAATGAAGCTGACATGGATTGCGCATAGCAAAGTCATGGCTTTAGGACCTTACCTTTAGATTTTCTTTGTATTTTTGGTCTTTATTTATTCTTTGTTTTTCCTTTTTACTATATCCTTTCACCCCTCCTTTTCATGATTCTAGTTTTATTTATTGGGAATAGGGGAGAACACCATGTTGATATAAAATAGCAATTTAATCTTACAAATTTTATGGTTTTAGTAGTAAAACAACAATATTTTGAGTATAGGGAAATTTGAGTATCAGAAGCCGAGGAGTAGGACAATTTGTCTTTTAAGTCCCTTAACAAGATTGTTTTTACTTATTATTTTTACACACATGCCTCCTTTTCAATTTGAACATTAGCCAGAGTGCTGGCACATGCCTGTAATCCCAGCACTTGGGAGGCTGAAGCAGGAGGATCCTTGTGAGTTCCAGACCAGCCTGGGCTACAAAGTGATCTCAAGGCCAGCCAGAGCTGCATAGGGAGACCCTGGGTCAAAAAGACAAAAAAAAATTTTTGAACTTTAGTATGGAAGTGAAGAGATGATGGCCTGGCTCGAAGATGAACACACAGAATAAATGCTACGGAAGGATTTTTACATACATAAGCACTTCCTACTGAGCTACATCACTTTTAATGTTCTCACTTTCAAAATCTGCTCCATCTTGTCCACTGTGTTCAAATGCATTTTTATCCGTATCTTCTTTAAAGCCAGTTTCTTGCATTTTTTGTAAATGATAAGCCATTTTTTTCTCTAGCAGGGCTTGTTTCTACAATATGAAAGACAATTATTGGTTAATACCAATTTGCCACTTTTAATGCAAGACAAATATTTAAAATATGATACTCTACTGGAAATCAACCATCATTCTTGTCTTGTAACTTGTGAGTTCATATTGATTCCAAACATGAGAATAGCGAGCATTGGATCTCCATTTGTGATCAAACACAACACTACACATTTTGTGGATTTTTTTTTTCTTTTCTGAGACAAGGTCTGCTACATCGTCCAGGCATACCTTGAACTCACCACGCTGTTTCAGCCCCCTGAGTGCTGAGATTACAAGCTGAACCACCACACCTGGCAGACAAGAAGAGTGAATTTAACATTCAGATGCCATTTATATCACTGCAAATTTCTGAGGAACTAGTAGAATGTCTAATCAGATAGGGTCTCTCGTCCTCAGCTCTTCTGTCAACATTAAGTAATTCCTCAGATATCTTTAAATGAACCCAAATGTCCATCCACTGAGGACTGGATAAGAAAATTGTGGTACTTTTATATAATGGAATATTATTCAGCTATAAAGAAAGATAAACTTGAAGCTTTTATAGGTAAATGGTCACAACTAGAGACCATACTTATAAGTGAAATGAATCAGACCTGCATGTGCAAGCACCACATTGTTTCACTAGTGTAAAACCTGAAAGAGTTAATTTAAACTAGGAGGTATGATAGACATTGTGAAATGATAGGAAAGTAAAGGGCAATTGGGATGTGGGAAAAGAGAAGGGAAAGAAGGAGAAATTTTGTATGTATGTATACACAGGATAGTTAACATAGTTGTTCTACTGTGTAATGTTCTTATACTACATGCAAAGCAGTTTAATACCACTTTAAGTAAGATCTACCGTGGTAAGTTAAAGATACAGTATATGCTATTGTCCCTAAATCACAAAACAAAGAAGCAAAACTAATAATTTAGCAAAACAAAAAAGGTATTAACTCATCCAAAGAAAAAGGCAGAAAATGAGGAGAAAGAGAACAAGGAAAACAAATACTGAGGTAACAGATATAAAGCTAATTAATAGCTGTTTTAAATGTAAATGACCTAAATATTTCAATTAAAGGTAAGTGTTGTAATACTGAACAACAGCAATTAAAAAAACAAAATCCTTTTGTATGAAAATTACAAAAAAGAAACTGAACATAAAGACCAGAGTTTTAAAAACTAAAGGAAAATGTTATGTATACTAATATTAATCAAAAGAATACCGTAGTGGCATTATAAATTTGATATAAGGTAAGATTACAGCGAAGAACCTTTTGAGCGAAAGGATGTTGTCACAATGAGAAAAAAACAAAAACAAGTCACTCATACTCAGAACAATCCTAATGTACCTAATGACTGAATTTCAAAGAGATACAACAAAAATTGATGGAACTACCAGGAGAAATAGATGAATCAAGAAATATAGCCACAGATTCCAACAGCTCTCTTAATAGGTGAGAAAAAAACAGAAATTAAAGTAAGATTCAGAAGAATTGGGCTTGATACCAGGAACACATTTACAAAATATGTTACCTAAAACAGTGGAAAACAAATTTTTTAATGTGAGCCTTGTATCTTACCAAGAATGATAAAAAGTTATTTTTTGAATAGTACAAAGGCTCAGTGCATTTAAAAGATACAAAAAATAAAAAATATGCTGTGATCACAAGAAAATTAGATTCAAAATCGGTAACAGAAAGATCTTTAACCCATCTCAGAAATAAAAGACAAAGTAGAAATATTTTAATTGAATAAAAGCATAGCATATCAAAATTTGTGGGATCTTGATAAATTAATAGAGAAAAAGCACAGTACTACATTTCTATATTAAGAAAAGAATAAGAGTCTCAAATTAATGACTCCTATTCAGAGATAAAAAGCTTATTGGAAAGAAAAATGTATGTAAGGGTCTGAATAGAAATCAATGAAAAAGGAAATAAAGAAAAAATAAAGAAAAAATTAAATAGTGATAGTTTAAGAAACTCAGTAAAAAAAGAAGTAAAATAAAGCCAATCTAGCCAGTGCTGATAAAGAAAAACATGTCACAAGTTACTGATGTTAGTAGTAAGAGGACATGCCATCATTAGAGTCACTCTGCGCTCAAAGGATAATAAAGGAATGCTGGGAACTCTTTGTGCAAAAGTTGTGTAATTATATGAAAGGGAAAGAGACTCTAAAATACACAAAGCTGTCAAAGCTCTTTCAAAATAAACATTATTCTAAACAGACCCAAGTTAAGGAAATAGAGGTTTAAAAACTTCACACCAAGAAAATTCTAGATCCACATGTTTTACTGATAAATTCTATAGAAAATTTAAGAAACAAAAAATACCAACTCAAAATGAACACTTTTAGAAATCTGATCCAGGAGTGTATACTACCTTTTGCATGAAGACCCCATTGTAATGATTGCAGAGACAATCACACAGTAACATGTCCTTTGAAAAATTCTAAGCAAATTTTTGGCAAAATCAGTATAATTGTATATATATGCAATATTGCCTGATTATCCTATATATATTCATTCCTGATGAAATTTCACAGAAAACTGGGAATAAGAGAGAATTTCCTTAGCCTGATTGATGAAAAATTAAAAATTCACAGTTAACCTTATCATAAATGCTAATAAAATTAATGCTTTCCTTGAGGTCAGTGACAAGACAAAGACAGCCAATCTTTTTACTCAACATTATACTACAGATTTCAATCACATAAGGAAAACAAATAAAACATTCATGCTGACAGATAACAAGATAGTCTATGTAGAATATCAATTTCCATGAAGAAAAATATAAACTACTGGAACTAACTGATTTTTAACAATATAAGATGAAAGATAAATAAATGTATATCAGTTACTTTTCCATATACTAGCATCAAGTAATCAAAAACTGAAATTATAAAATACAAAGTACAATAGCATAAAAATGATGAAATACCTAGAGATGAATGTACCAAAAGATACACATTGAGAACTACTTTACATTGGTAGGAGCAACCAAAAAAAAAACCTAAATAAGTGGAAAGATACATCTGGTTCAGGACTCAGCATCATTAAGAGGGCATTTGTACCCAACATGATCTACAAGGTTAACACAAGGTCAGTGAAAATTTCAGCAAGGTGTTTTGTTAAAAAAAAGAAAACCTGACAAACAAATTCTCAACTATATATGAAAATGTGAAAAACTTATGTTAGCCAAAACAACTGAAATACAAGATTGAAATTGTAAGGCTAACGTGACTGATTTGACACACTTTCCTTTAATAGGAACAATAATGAAGAAAATCACAGATAACAGGTCAAAGAACAGGGAAGAATCCAAAAGTCAACTCACAAATTATTTTTGACAGACATTAAGTGAAAAATTCAAAACTTTTGATAACTCTGCAATATAAGCACATCATCTGAAGTGATTTTTACACCTAATACTAAATGTGAAATATGATAGACATATTAAAGCAACACAAATGAATCGAAGAGCTCTTATATGAAAACAAGATTCAGAAAAACCAATTACAGAATAACTCCCCTGGACATTTGAGTGCTTCCAGTAACTCTGCCATTACCACTCCCAGGCAGTCCCCGCTGTTTCCATGTCTACAATCAGCGGCCACATCTCAAGTGTACTGATCCCTGGCCAAACTTTCCTCTATCGCAGTAGTCTCCGCTGAAACTGAACAGGACTTCTTGAGTAGAAACTGAGATCATGCAAAAGGTGAAGTGGAATTGGAGCATTGTATTGCTCTGAAAAACTAAAAATACTCTCAGTGATGTCTGGTAGCAAAATGAAGAGGCCAATTCTGAGTGCTCTTGCATTGGAAAAAAGTGAATATTAGAAAATATTAATTACACTAAATTAAAAATAAACTGAGTCTGCCACATGAGAAGTGCGACTGTCATAATACTAAAGGTACATGTAACAGAATGAAACATAAATATAGAGAGTTGAATTTCCAGTATCTAACAACGTTTTATATTCAACACTACAATGCAAACAGAACTATTTCAATCTGATACTTACACCAAGATTTGTCTAGAATAAATAAACTAAATTGCTATTTAGCATTTTAGAGCAACATTTACTGTCATGGAAAGTTGTTAATGATATTTTATTAAGAAGAGGCAGTCTGCTGGGCGTGGTGGCGCATGCCTGTAATCCCAGCACTCGGGAGGCTGAGGCAGGAGGATTGTTGCGAGTTTGAGACCAGCCTGGGCTACAAAGTGGGCTCAAGGCCAGCCTGAAATACATAGTGAGACCCTGTCTCAAAAAGACCAA